TGAGCCTTAACCGGCAAATAGATTTGATATCATCATCGATGAGATGAAACGGCGAAAGAGTATTTCCTGTCCTGTCGAAAAGCAGTTGTCTGGGAATCCGAATCCCCATTTCGATGGACAGGTGGCACCATTGGCACCATTGTTCAGCGCTCAAATCGCTGCCGATGGTACACATTCAACCTGGAGCCCCATTCCGTTCTTGGCATGAGCGTTTTTCAATTGGGCCGGCTACAAGTCAGTCAGTCATCCAGGCGTTTGAGCCGCATTTATTCATATACCACCAGCTTCCACATATGTATGGCAACCATATATCTGTGTTGTGCATTCTGACGCCGCAGTCTGTTCGTGTTCGTCTCTGTGTCTGTTTCCGTGTGTGCTTACACAACAACTGTCGCTGGCTTTTCAATTTGATTCATTTCATTTCAATTCTGTTTTCTTTGCATTGTTCGATTGCGCCAGGAGCCTCGATCAGCTGAACTCTCCGTCTGCAAGTCCAGTGTTTCCAGTGTTGGGTAAATGCTTGAACCCAAATTGAAAATGCAAAATCGGGAGTGGAGAGCTCTAGCTAATATGTTGCTTACAAATTTTGGTACACCCAACGAAAAATTGTCACAAAAACAAACTATTGTCACATGCATTTTAAACTTTTGACATTAAACTATTGATTTTACCAGAAACGTAAAACTTATGTGGTTTAAAAATAAGGCCAGTTTTAAAGTCATCGATATTAAAATTAAACTACAAAGTATAGTAAGGTAACTATACAAAGTATAACCACCCTATTTGTCATTTATTATTGAATTAATTCTTATACTTTATTACTTTCTGTAGGTTATTTCCAAGACACACTTATTAAAACTAAACTTTCAGTTATATTCTTGGGTGTAGTTATTTGGTTAAAAGTGATTTAATGGGCACTATCAATCGATTCGAATTGTGTGTCTGTCTAAGCTATAAATGGTTTTAAAATAATTTTTATATCATATTCTGAAAATACAAAAATTATCTCGGTAATTTACTTATATACTTTTAGTAGTAAAAGAAGGCTTTTGGAAAATTTTCATCTCGATAGCTTCAATATAAAGCATATTCTTTTCAAACTTGTAATTATTTATGTTTAAATTTTATAAAAACAGAAAAGAGCCAAAAATTACAACAAAATTCGAAAAGTTTTCAACATACTTTTTACTCGAGATTTAGATATTTTAACGATTTCAAAAATGCATTTTCAATTAGAAGTAAGAACGATCCAAAAACTTATTGGAAAATACTAAAATTTATTATGTTTTAAAATTTCAAATGATCAAAGTACAGATTTTTTCTATAATATATCACAAGCTTATGCATTTGAACCTTGAGGTGCTGTTATTTTGACCGCAGATGTAAGTAGGACAAGGGCATAGAAGATTTAAGCGCATTGTTTAACATATAAAAGGATGGCAAAGGGGCGAAATATAACCAGGGCAGTATCGAAGTCTGGCACCGTTTTAAGCCAATGTCCTACGCGTTCCCAACGAAAAGTGAGCGAAAGCGAAAAGGTAGATTTATGGCATCATAAATCAAGAGCAATATTGTCATATTCTAGTATTTCCTGGTCACCACTGCTTCTACATTTTGTTTTTTGGCCAACTAAGGTCAGCATTACCATGGGAGGAATTTCGGAATATTTCACATCTTATCGTGCACTGCGCAGATAAAAAAAATTATAAGATTTAAAGATCTTTTTAACGCTTTAACGTAGAATTAAGTAGAAAATGTAAAAACTAAGGATATATATACATTTCAAAATAACGCATTTTTTATACCTTGCAAAGAGTTTTTCTATAGGTTTAATTCTTTGTTTTTATATTCCAAAACAAAGTAATTTTTTACCATTTTAGTTAAAAGTTTTAATTTTATTAAAATCGGGCGTCTTCATCGTACATATAGTCGATAGGAAAGATACGAAATCAATTTCTTTTTGTTTTTAACTTAAGATATATATTTTGTTTTAATTCAGAAGCGATTGTTTTACATAGCTGCCTTAAAAACCATTGAACAGTTTATTGGGAAATCGGCATAACTTCATTGTTTTTCAATTTATTGATATAAAATTCTATTAAAAGTCATTTGATAAAATTTACATATTTGTAAAGGCTGCAATACCCATATAACCTTTGGGTAGCCAAAGTCAGCTCCTTTTCTAGTTTGTGTGTTTTACAGAGTATGCAACAGTTTCAGGCTCAGGTATTTGATTGCACATTGGACTTCAGAGTCGAGGGCTGTTGGCGCCAGTCGAAATCCATTAATTTCGGGTTGAGCTAGCTCGAGATCGTCTAACATGATACATCAATTCGCACCAAAAACGTCAACACATAAGGTCATTGCCTATCAGGTTACAGCTTTGAGGCATTCCCTCCAGCAGAGGCTTCTGCGGTTTGTGCTTCAATCCAAAGGAGAATTGATAACTGAAAAGCATATGTGGAATCCGTTTTTCCTAATTGACGTGTTTTAAAGGATGCTGACAAACAGGAGTGGAAACTTAAGTGACTGAGATGGTGGTGGGCCTCGTTTGACACTCGAATGAGCCAATGCATACTTACCCTAACAAGTGGGTCCAATGGGTGAGCAAGACTTCATGCATAAAACACGGTAATGACGACCACAAAAGCTTGAACAAATTAATTTTCGATACCTGATTAAGCACAACTCATTTGTTCATTTGATCGGTGGGTCCTTCCTTTACCCTCAGAGCCTGGTGTAAATATGTGCGACACTATATGAGCACCACAACATCGAGTTCGACTTGTGATTTGGGGGGATGTTGAGGTTACAAATGGTGCTACTCGACCGGTAACCAAATAAGGCAATTCGAATGGAGAGGAAAATAAATGAAACCATTCTTTTATTAGCAACTTAACTAAGCCAAAACGCAAACTGTTTGATGACAGCAAGAGCGACAGTTGCTAAACAACTGAGGGTCCGCCGTCCCGGGCAGGAACTAAACAAATATGTATGCCATGTTTGTAAGCCAAGAAAGGGGCAAAGTGGCAAAGGACGGACCGCCGCATCCGGCAGATTGTCAGTGGTGTCGCTAATCAACCCTTGTCAGTCAATCATAGTTGAACAACGCGTGTCCGCTCTTGGAGGCGCCTTCAACAAATAGCAAAATATATTAAATTTGCTTCGAATTAGCGCGTTTTGACAAAGGTGCAACCTCTTAGAAGAAAACATTTTGCCCTATTTTAAGGACTCAAGCAACAGCAACAAATATTGTTTAATTCACATTCCATTGATAGTAAAAAAAACTTGAAAGAACGCCTATAGCGCGCCGACTATTAGATATCCTTTACCTACCAGCTTACCAATTTCAAAATAAATATGACCTCTGGAAAAAATCAGGTTTTAGGTGGTGCCATCTGCAGAATCACTACTACAAGCTACATTTTTACATTTATGCTAATAACTTCTAAAATATTGGTTCGATTTTAAAAATTTGAGTCGTTTAATATTGACCCGATGAACATATACAGCTTAATAACAGGACTCTACCATGACTCAGAGTGACATGCTAGACTTTTGCTATTTGTGGGCGGGGCTGAATATATTGGTTATTAATCAGGAACATATAAATTTATAGGGTCCGAACAGTTTCCTTCTACCTGTAACATACTTCTTAACGAACTCAATACACTCTGCGAGTAACGGGTATAAAAACTCTCTAAAAGTCTGCAAAGAAATCAAAAATGTTGGCTTGCTTGTTTGTGCCCTTGCCTTCAGTGGCCTTCCAAAGTCAATACCACCGGTGCCGATGGCGATGTTAATGCGGTGGGTTGCTGAGCTTTGAGCTGCTGTGCTGAACTGATGACGTCTGTGATGAGGATAAAACTGTGTTCAATTGCCGGGAAACTCTTCGGTTTCCGACTCACTGCTGTCCAAACATGCACAAGGACGAGGAACACATCTGCTGGGCCACATATCGACATTGATTGGATGTAACCAGGCCCAGAGTGATGGTAGACAAACTCGTAGACGTCAGAGTTGGAGCTACTGAAATCGCATTTAAATCGGGAACAAAGAGGCCGCAGTTGGTAGTTGGCGTCAGAGAACTACTATACAATGAGAGACCCACACACTTCCTGCGCCAATCAAGCAAAACCGCTCTGTAAGAAGAAGGTTATACTGGACTGGACAACCACAAAAAAAGGCTTCGGACATCGTCCCAAATTTCCGTTCTTTTCGAAATCCACGTATGTATGTATATGCATATATGCATACTCCAGGGAGGCGGCTGTGATTCAAAACCACTTCCAATCCAGAATGCAGATAAGCCCGTTAATTCCGTTATACAGATGTCACTCATCAAGCAAGTCCGGCTGCCATCAAACGCCTGTCAATCAACGAGGCGACAATGCATTCACGTCCAAGCAACTGCCCAGAACATGGGCAAATCGGCGCAGTTTCCTTAAACTCAATTATCAAGTAAAAAACAGAACGAAAGCTTACTACGGCAGCCCGAAGTTTGAATACTTTTGCAGGGTTACCAAAATTTTGATGCATATATATATCAACCCTACAAGTTGGCGTTAAAAAAAAATTTTTTTTTATCATTTTTAAAAATATTTAATTTATTATGCCTATGATACATGATGATTTTTATATTTGTTCATACGTTTCACGAATATTTAAACAAATTCTCAATTCTAAACGTTAGAGAAGCGAAATAACTATATCGTTTTTAAAAGTATACACATCAAAATCGAAATGTAGTCCTTCTATAGAATATTTCATTTTTGTAATAGCTGTAAGGGTATAAAAGTTCGGCTTGCAGAAAATTGCCTCTGACGGCAGAACATATTCCTATTCTCTACAGAGATATTGCCATGATGCACCCAAAGCAAGCAAAAAAATGTTGTTTATAATTAAAAGTGATAGAAGTTCCCAACCACTGCACAACTAATAAATCATTCTATGGCTGGCACCATATTTTTTCAAATAATACAAATTTGTAACCAGGGTTGTACTCTATATATATTATTGGTAATTTATTAAATTTTCATTTACAGTAGTTGGAGACCGAACGATTTATGTAAATATTAATAGGCTTATAAGGTTTAAATTTCGGTTCAATTACGTGGGGGTTATTTTATTGGCTGACAGTCGATTATAAAACAAAAAGGCCATCGTAAAATCTATTTTAAAATTGTTAAGTTATTGATACATTTGTTGGTTAAGGGCAACAGTTAACTAAGTTGTTGCTCGCTTTTATTATCTTTTAAACATTTGGATACTTGCACTAATTTTGGATCAAGAACAAAGTGTAACGTACAAGTGTGTATTTCTCTATATAGATTTATGCATAATTTTCTGTTACAGACGGTTTCGTTTTAAAATTAAAGAAGCGATGTTGTATTTTGAGTGCTATTTTTTTAACTTATCATTTAAAGATACAATTTTGGGAGGAATCAATAATGTATTCAGTATGGATCAGCGCAGTTTTTGTGTGTGTAAACCTAAGTTTTAATAACGTTTTTCGGTTTATCTAGATATTAAGTGTTTTTGTGTCTTTTATATCATCCTTTTGTCAGAATAAAAAGTTAATAATGAGTAAGTGTACTATGAATCTCACAAATGTCTTAGATGACATTGAAAAAAAATGTAAATTATAACAGATTTGTTATTTGTTATATCATGTGCACTCTTTCTCTGATTGACAATAAGTTTTGAACGTTGTGTCTTAGATAATCTTATAGGTTATAGTCTTTCAACATTTTAAAACTACAAATAATTAGTAAGTGTTCACCTTCGATGTTGCCCATGTTTGGATCCTAAAGAATATAAGTTAACCCAAGTTTGACATCAGTTGCCTTAAGTATTCATACAATTGCGAATGGAATAATAGTCCTACGCGACTAATCCATACAATTTCGTTAGATTGCTTACATGCGTACATATGCAATATGTGTGTACCTTCTACGTGCGTAGTTCTTGGTTTTCTTTTTAGTTTTTCTTCTTGCCATATGGTTTTGATAACATTTTCACGTTTTGGTCTAGCACATTATAGTAGTACGGGTCTGAGAACGCATCTTATCACTGTTTTAGCGGGATACAGTATAGCCCATAGCCCGCAGAAATCTATAAGCATCTACTTATGTTTGCAGGACTGTGTTTTTGTCCGGAAGAGAGAGAATTACTTTCCAAAAGTTTTGCAACTGTGTGCAATCTTTTGATTTGTATACTTCTTATTGTATTATATGCATTTTTAAATCAAGCTTGCAAGTACGGTATCCATTTAAAACTGTGATATTTATATTATCTTTTGTTCGCAAAAAGTTTTCAATCATATTATGAAATAATATGCTTTTGACAACTGAATAACGTGGGGAGTGAACAATTAAAGCCATTCCATAACAAGAGTTGAATACCCGTTTAATGACTAGCATACTATATTGTAAATATGTATTTTCCCCCAACTGATTTTCAAATTTTAAAAAGATATCTCATTGTTTGTTTTTACTTCTATAAGTATTTCAATAATTATTGAACATTAATTTTCTGGGTCTTGAATATACCGGCATCTAACCTACATATTAAAGTTTTTAATTTGAATGTTCCAGTATATATTTGGTTTTAAGTTTTCTGTACTTTTTGTATTTTTTTACTGCAATAAAATGTAGTTGACTGAAGTTGAAGTTGATCTATATATGCTTGCATCGTAGAACCTATTGTTTTGCATTGCAATCAAAAATGATATTTGAGTAATCCCAATGTTATACCTACCTTTTCCCATACGTATATATATTTTGTAAAATTTCTTATTTGAAAATCTAATGTAGACAAGCACTGTACATGTCACTTAAAATTTTTTCTTTTTTTCCTAAATAGTCATTGATTATTATCTGCAGCTGCTTCTATATCATAGAATATTTAAGAATGGATAAAATGCAGCTATGCTGGAAGTACTAGTAAAATTTAGTATCACAGTATTTTATATAAGATCAACTTTTGTTTATCCATCATATGCGGTATTTTATGCAAATATTACTTAAGTCAATTATATCGTCACATTGGAGTGGTATATATTATATAATCGAAAAAAGGGAGAGCATTTCACAAGTTGTTGTGTATTATTTGTTACCAAAAAGTATGCCAATATCTTTTTGGCAGGCGTCGGAAAAAATAGTGTACTTGTATCATTTTAAACTAAACGGAAATCTTTTGTTTATTTTTTCAATAATGACAACTTGAAAGTTATTAAACGATGTCTATATAAGTTGTAATTGGTTGTAACGGCCTTTGGAGCTTGTGTACTGGCAAAATCCTTCTAAAATTATGCTATTAAATTAATAAATCTTACTCCGTGTTAATTTAAAAAAAATTTACAAAATTACAAAAGGAAAAGGAAGTTAACTTTATGTTAACCAACAAAAAATAAAAATTAGTTTGTTTGATTACGCTTTATTTTTTCTTGGTCGATTTGAAAAATTATAAATGAGTGCACGAAATAAGCTGTTCTGCTCTAAAGTCTTGTTGTCTTTTTCATTTTTGTGTTTTTTATGCAACTTTGACGTTATACTTATTTTACATCACTGAATTTTGGATGCGAAATTCAAAATGACAAGTTATTGTTTAGCAAACGTAGCATTTTCATGTACATTTCAAAAGGGGAATACTTCAGGTCATGTTGGAAGAGCAATTAATAAAATTAAAATACTTTTGTATTTTAGCAAATTTCTTGACCCTTTAGCAACCAGCAGTTGGTCAATTGGAAGAAATCAGGAAGAAGTAAGTTTTGTAGAAAATATTATGTACGATGTTCAAATAATTTACCACAACTAATTAAATATATGTATGTCTACGTATAAAATGGCATCGTAAGCTTCATGATTACACATTAAGATAGATCATATGTTTTTATCATGCTATAAAATTGGTAACTAGTCTATTTGTTTGCATGGTATTTATTTCAACTAATATTGTAATTATAAAGAAATCTACATAATTTATTTGGTAAATTGTTATAGTAAAAGTTGTTTAACCAAGAACACAGTTTTATTTCTTGAAAATAATGTAGATTTACCTAAAATCTACTTTATCTTTACTAAGCGTGACTTTATTATAAATATTATGTCGTTGCAAATGATAACAGAACTATGTTTGGATTTTTGTCATTTATTGATTTTATTTGTATACCCTTGCAGGGTGTATTCAAATTTCAGTCAAAAAATTATAACTTCGTTGTTTTTTTCAATTTATACCAATAAACTATTGGTTTTCCTTTTTTTATAATAACAGTTTTAATTTTAATCGGACAACGATTAGGAACGATCGAAAATTTAGCGGATAATCGACATGACTTCAACATATACGCATAAACATCAAATTAAAGTCGTTGTACAAAATATTGAATTTTTTTTGCTTTTCTTGTTTACTTAAATGTACAGCCTAACTTCTATAACTTAAACCTTCTCAACCAAATTTATCCATAACTCTATTTTTCAACTGGAAGTTGTTTTGGTGGTCGTTCCACTTATAGAAGTTTGACTGTAAATTGTAACTCTCTTGAAACATGATTTAAATCCTAACCAAAAGCCAAGTTCTCTTAAAAATTATAGCAGTGTGGTTAAGGCAATGTTTTTTGTTGTAAACAATAAATAATAATTCGAGTGGTGAGTTATAGAAATTGCTTTAGCCAATTTTAAAACGAATTGATACAAAAAAAAACGCCATAATACTCCTTTACTCAGTTCCAGCATAAAAACTACATTCTATTCTATAAATATTCTAGAGCCGTTTTTTATATATCGAGCATTAGCATCTGTGTGCTTGCTGTTGTTGTTGTTGTTGAAATGGGTGCACAAGGTTGTTGGCAGGTTCATGCCAATCATTTGGAGAAGTTCATTTCGCTGTCTTTGCACTTGCAACCAACTTAATATGCATTCTACTACATATGAATTTGTCATACAAGTTATATCATCTAATTCTATTAATTGCTTGCCGTTTCTGTTGTCTTTTATTAAATTATATAGTAGTGCTGAATGCAGTCATCATTCGGCAAGGCCGAATTCGTCTTGTTCAATGGGTTTCTTCAGCCAGCTGCCAAGGTCCTCTCGTTTGAAAGCCGAAAACAATTCAAGCTTCGCCGTCTACAATTAATTAAAAAACATTGTATTATTGGATGAGCTAGAACTTGAGACAACCAGTAGTTAACCTCACCTGGTAGTCCTTTACGTTGGCCTTTGTTTGCCCATAGTCTGTGGTTACTTTGCGGGCTAAAATACCTGGTAGGTTCACCATTAGAAAGCCATATTTAACAAAAAACGCCTGCTTCGTGATGCGCGACACTTGACCGCCAATTGTTCGGCCAGTGAGCGAGTTGACCACCTCCAGCTCGGTGTCGCCGATGGTCCAATTAATGCCGAAGTTCGGAGCCTTGGCCTGATTTCGCGGCTCTGCCGATGTGACCAATGCCAAGCGTGGCTTATTCAAATGGTACGGCGGTGGCAGACCCTGGATCGACTTCTCAATGCGGCCGCACACTGCACGGTACATGTGCTCTGGGTGCAACAGACTGCCCAGCACAATCGAATGCAGGTACACTGGTTCAATTATGGAAGACAACAAGGAGCCTTGTATGCCCACGATGTTCCAACGTGCGATTTTATCAGAGCACGACATGGTCAGCAAGCGTTGGCCCTACACAAAAAAAAAATCACAGAATATTACTAAATGTTTTGAATTTTATATTTCATAATCGAGTCGTTTTAGTTACCTGCAATACGCCATCCCACGTTTGTATTCCATCACTGCTCTTGACTGGAATTGTCCCCTCACCGGACTCGATTTTTGTACGCAATTGGCCACGAGCTTTTCTGTTGATTGATGGTTATTTCATGTATGATTCGTTGTCGCCATTATAAAAATGAATATGAAAACTATAATTATTTGCTTGTTTTAGAGATGTTTCAAAAACATGCCAAGAGTCATACTGGGAACAAAACTTAGTATGTATTACTTCAGTTTGGTTTGGTTTGATGGCTTTTGTCGGAGTGGCAAGCCCCCACAATTTAAATAATTTAGCATCAAATGTTTTTAATTCAATACACTACAAAAAACAGTTATAATTTATAATATATATATAAATATATAAATATATTATATTCCTAAGTTATTTCAGTTTGCCATGAATGGAAGACAAATAAAACCAGGGCAAACCAAAATTGCGTTTTTTTTGCATCGCTAATCCAAATAAAAATTTTTTTATTCTTTTTCTCGACTCTACACTAACATTTGGTACATTTTGGCATGTTTTTTTTTTTTAAATCGTATTGATAAATGCACTGCCATAATGCAGTTTTGATCACCCCTGATTTAAATGGTCACAGGACCTTTAAACTTCTTATGCATGCACCAGAATTTTTAATTAACGGACAGGAATAAAAATTTAAATTCGGATGGTGTATTGCTTACAATGTAATTTCTTTTGTGTTATATTTTCCCCTTCAATGGTAAGCAAAAATGAATTTACTACAGTGAAGCCCAACATCACATTAGAGCTTAATATAGTTAATTTATTTGACAAGCAGCACGATTTAAATTTAAGAACATACATTTGATTGAGCCATCACAGACAGACAGACAGTATAGGCAGTAGAAAAAAACCCCTTACAAATTTACCATTCTCAACACAACAAAAAAAAATGTAAATACCTGAATTATTTTTTTTACATGCTTGTGTTTAGTTAACTGATTTCATATATTAAATCCATACAGATTCGTGCATTATGTTCCCAGAAATCATATTGAAAATATGCGAACAAATGTAGTATGCATCGATTCAAAATAAATTTAACATATACATGTGTACATATTTTCTATACACATTTCAATTTATAATTTGTTATAAACAAATGTCCCTTATTTTCGAAACAAGTTATGCACTTGTGTTTCCAAGCACACAATTATATAAATGTGTTTTTTGTTTTTTTTTTGCATATACATATTTTTCTGGCACAGAAAACATGATTTTTATTTGGAAACATACTAATATTGATAAATTTTGATACTACTTGATTCATACAATTTTGAAGTGTAAATAAGTAAAGAAAATATTTGAAAATTTTAATAATAGCAAGTATTTATAGAATATCTTTTGTACCAACCTATTTGGATGTTTATCAACACCAGTGTCGTTTTCGTGAGGACTAAATATCCGTGCATCCCCACAAGGTGCTGTATTTATATACAAATGGAAATGTACCCCGGATTTTAGTTTATAAGGGTATTGCCCATCAGTATTCCTCACGAAAATCGACTGATATGCTGTGGCTAAATTTAGGAGAAAATTGAATAAGAGTAATCAAATATAAATTAAAGTAAAACGATTTAGATTTATGTTTAAGTTTCTTTCTTTTCACCAATACGCACAGGTATGCATGAAAAGAAGTCCAATAAAACAATGCAAAACAGATTTTAGTATGCCATTAAAGTGGGGAAGCGTAAAGCCAATTTCAAAGTACTACTACGCACTGATACATATCTCATTTCTAGATCAACAATGACTTATTTACTTTTGAAAGTCTGGTTTTGTTTCAATCACTAACCATGAAGATTTTCAAAATTGACTCGACTTTTTTTTGTTTTTGATTTTGTATTTTGGAAAGGTGTGTGATTATTTAAAATGACTAAAATACTTGTGACACAGCAATACAAAATACAAAAGTTGCAGCTACTCAGAATTAGAAACACTCTGATTTCAGCGACATATTCACACATTTTTTTAATGAAAACGTGGTCAGTAGTTTTGTTTCACAATAAAGAATAAAAGCAGTGGTAAAGTTTAAAGTTTATATGTTATATATATATATAATATATATATATATATATATATATATATATATATATATATATATGTGAATGCGTCAGAGAGAGATGCTGTTAGAGCAAATGATACCACAGCCATTGAATTGAGGAGAACAAAAGCTGAGTAACTTATGAAAGATACCTTCTTTTTGTACTAAAAAACGGTTTTCCAATTTTGCTTTTTAATAGGTTAAAATTATGTTTACCCAAATATTAGTAACAAGCTTAGCGCCATTAAAAAAATAAGTATAACGGGTCCAATTTGATTGACAAACCGTACATTTCAAATGTATACATTCAACAACTAAATTATGCATTATACTTAAGCTCAACTTCTATTAAATATTAAATATTAACTATTAACTATTTAGTATGTGTAAAAGTATATAACTTAGCATATGCATCAAACAACTATACCCTGGTTGCACTGCAGGTCCAGCTGTGCATAGAGGAACTTCAGAAGACAGCGCCTGGAGACTATCTCGGCATGCGAATCGTTTAACACAGCTCCGTTCACACTCATGTGCTCGCCACTGACACACTTGGTGCCCGTCGAAACGGAAATAACCTGGTGGTCACGAAAGAAGTGTACAACACTTGGTATTATAGTTATAATAATATATGTTATGTAGATAACCGACTTACTTTGGCTTCACAAAAATTCATGTTCTCTGTCATTACAATCCCCGCCAATACCTTGCGTCGCGAATAGGCCTCCTGTCCCTTGATGACTTCCATGAACTTCTCCAGCACCAGTCGTCCAATGGTATCTGCATGTATCTGCGGCAGCTCCATTGACGACGACTTGTCGTCAATTGGCAGGGGAACGTTTTTCTGCGGCACCACCATCGGACTGTACGAAATATTGCACAGTGATGCAAGTGCCGCCTTAGCTGCCGCATTTTTGGCCAACTTTTTGGAAGGACCTGGAAAAATAAATGTATTTACCAATATACATAACTTGTGCAATATATGCACACACACACATACCTGTTCCATCAAACTTTTTCTCGTTTATTGTAACTGTCATTTTGAAGCGGCAATTGTTTTGAGCTCCGTCAATATTAATACAATCGAATTTAACGTCGTTGAACAACTCGTACAGAAGCATAACAGGTCCCTTGTCCGGAACCTTTTTTTGGCCATCGACAGCAATGGCACTCTTGCTCACATCTAGCAATATAAAAAGTAGTTAGTAGCGATAGTTGGTTGCTCGTTGCTATATGCAATATGCAATTTGGTCTTAGTCATCTAAACTTATTTCACACGCAGTAGTGTTCTCCAACCGTATTAGAAAAATGCAAGGGAAAACATAAACAGGGAAAACGAATACAAATGACTTAAGCAAAATGTTGTGTTCGAATACAATTATTTCAATATGTGCGTTTAGCATTGAAATTTCTTAATATTACATACTTTGTAGCTTTGTGATTGCACAGTGTTTTTTATTTAGGCGTGTTAAGACATATTAATACTGAACGTAAATATTTTAAGGAAAAAGGCGAGAATGTTAAAAGAAAAAACATAAAATAAACAGCCCATTTAAACTGATACTTTTAAATAGCGGTTTCTAGCACTGTTCACCATGAATCAGCTTAAAAACATTCGCATGCACATAAAAGCTTCAGTCCAAATATGCTATTATGTAACTCTTTAACAAAATAAAGGTTAAAATCAACACAAGTCAACCCTATGGCACATTTAACAGAGTTATTTATTCCGATAGATTTACTACATAGACTGTAGACAGTTAATACACTTGCAAAGAATATAATATTTTCGCCGAAAAGTCTGCAACGTGATTAATAAGGACAACTACAACTTTTTTATGCTTGCTTGCAGCTTTTTTGGTGAACAAACTTTTAGCAAAATGGTTTTGCCATATTATTATTTTGAGTACTGATATAAAATACCGAATATTGACAGATCTGGCCAGCTCACCATGGTAATACTAAACTTTTTGGGCTTTTACGTTAGTTTTTCTGTCGATGGAAAAACAAGTATCGCTAACTATATAATTGAACGCGTAATGTTGTTGTAAATATACTTAGCAAATTAACATTACTTGGCGGGAAGATCATTAATTTTCTTTAAAAAAATGTTTAGAAATGTCGCCTTCTTTATTTTAGCTTTACACAATTAATAACTAATTAATAATTATCAATGTACGAAAAGCAACGCAACAAGGGTAACACAAATTTTTTTCTTAATCCAAATCCAAATTTGTGTAGTGCATACATTTGAAATACTTACACACTTCAAGTTAAAGTGCATAGGGTCACACAACTCAGTCAATTCAGTAACAAATAAGATTTCATAATAATAAATTAAAGTATTTAACAAAAAAGGAACAAAAAAAACACTAATACTTGCTCTGATTCATGCACAACTTTTGAGGACGCAACGTGGGTTGTTCAAGCGAGGTAAGTTTGTATTTCTTTTCAGTCAACATCAACGCCTTATTGGTTGCGATCAACTGTTCATTGGACATATTTTCAATACCATTTTCCAGATGTTCATCGCTGGTAAAGTCCAAGTTGCCCGCTGGCTTCAAAGGTGACAAGACAGCTCCGTCCTTAAACTGTATAAAGCTGCGGAGTGCGGTAGCGGCTGCTTCGATACGTGCAACCTTTTTACTGCGACCCTGGCCCAAGTATTTTTGTCCATCGACCTGCGAAGTTAATGCGAAGTTTGTAGTCAAATGCGGGCTAATCAACATTTCCTTCGTTCTAATATTTAAAACGATTCGGGTTTCGGGTCAATAAAACAGATGCTAGATATTCAACAATATTCACTAACCCTTACGTTTAGCAGACATGCTTTTTTATGACTATCTGCCGTGCTTGCTACTACTTATTATGTTCTTATTGATCTATTCATATGTAACTTAGTAGAGCTCGCGTGGAATACTAAACATAACTCCTGAACGACATAAGTGATACACAACAGTTTGAATATTAAGTATTTTTTGTGGGCATTGTTTAGCAATAAAAGCAATAGATTAAATAAAGAATGCACTATAAATTTGTTATAACTAGAACAAATCCAAGTTCTTAAAAAATGCATTTTTTCATTTGGAAATTTTCGTTTTCCAAGATTGCTAAAGTAATCAATCTTACCTCAACGGATATCGTAAATAAAGGTGCGTGCACCGGACCAGTCTGTGACTCCAATTTGTAAATCAGTCCATGTCTTAACTCATTCAGTATTGCCACTGTATTTTTCGGCTGCTGAATGCGCTCCTTGCAGATTTTCTTTTTTGGTGTTACTGTAAAAAGAGTTTCAACTTTGAGTTCAATTCTTTTTTTTTTTGTAAATCTAAAATATAGTTATAATCAAAAGGGATCATGACTAACCAGCATATTTTGTCATCTCATAGCGCCGTTTTTGTGGCGATTTGCGGTTATAGCCATTCATGTTGATCTCAGATGGTGCACTCACCGGCTATATTATATATATATACATTTAAAATAAATTTAATAGTAGTTAATATATTGAGGCGTTACACATTTTCATTTCAACACTTAACATAACATGTACAGTACAACGAAAAGCATTCAAACTTCCTTTCAAGGACCCGATTTTGGTGTATGCATGTAGTAATTTGGAGTACTTATAGGTGCATTTACTTTTTTTTGCATTTTCTGCATTAACTGGTTGTATTCAGTTTAACAGAATAAAAGCAATTATTTTCTTCTTTTGTAAGCCAATTACATTTTGTTAATAGATTAATACTACATACAAACACAAAATGTTTGCTTTAATTCAATATTACGCACAAAAACATCGATACACCATATAGACAGTTATAGCAAGACGTTTTTAATACAAGAGCACAACAATAGGTTTAGTTAAAAAAAATCCTCACATCTTGTTGGTCGAAACTATTTATTAATTTTAAAATCATACAAAATATTTATCTTTCAAGACCCACAGTGCCATTAATATATAGTTCATAAAATCTACTTACATTGCAGGGCAATGAGGGAAAAATAACTCTCCGTTTAACAAAAAATTTGGGCCTTTTGCCCGCAAAACTTGATGCGGCATAAAAATGTTGACGTTGGTAGAAAATTGAGGATCTCGAAGCTATTCGCATAGCATGGTGACATGATTTATAGCACGCACGCTCTGGTTTGTAGGAAACTGGATACATTATTGGTTAACTTGCACTTCTTTAATATTGTCAAATAAATAAAAACTATTCAAACAACGAACGTTCAAGACCATGTACAACTTGGCGACTGATGAATTTCGAGTTTCCCGGCTAAGCACCGACATTTAACTGACAACGACAAAAGCAAACTGCAGCTAATTTTATAGAAAGAACTACAATTATGAAAAAAAAATTTTTTTAAATGTACATACATGTGCAAAAACACATGTTTGTACGTGTATAGATAATTTGCGCGACTAGCTGCGTATTTTGAGTAGCTCGATATTTATATACCCTTTTAAAGGGAAGACGAAGACGAAGACACCACATGTGGCTGTCCATCTCAATGCAAGGGATCAGATCAATCTGTTTTATTTTAAGTTTCAAAGCGAGCTTCTGTGCGGCACGATAACCAGAAGACATTGAAAACATATATTTATTTACGAGGTTATCAACCAACATATATTGGCTTCATTTTAAGCAATATGGATTATTAAAAATATATTTTTTGCAACCTTCTGCCTGATTGGATTGAATTAATTTCCTATAATTCATGCTTGGGCAAATGTGAAATGAAAAGGGCTCTTAGAGGACCTAGAGGATATCAACATTGCTCAATGACATTTATATCACTTCTTTTGAAGTGTAACAAAATGCACGGTGCATGTCGAAAATTGAGATGCCTTGGTGCTGATAAAACGCTTGCAGGCGGCCAGAAGGCAGATTTAGCCAAATTAATGAAGTCAAAATGTCAGAAAGGCATTACCAGCCCAGCCCAGCCCAGCAGCATGAACGAAATTACATTAAAAAAAAATTGGATGCCGGTGGAGCGGTTATTGCTACAGCAGCTGCACCACAAACTCAGAGATGCATGAGTTGCATTTGCGTATCAAAATTTGCAGTAATCAACAACAACATTTTTAAAATAAATATGTTGCAAAACACATACGGGTGCGTGTGTGCGAATATTACGCTCCGGGATATACATTTACAAAATCTGTTTGAAGAACACATTTTATTTTCGGTCGATGTTTGGAGGAATGGAAGCCTACAGTCTTGTATGTTAACTATGTGCGCGTAGGTGGGAAAAAGGACGACTCATTAATTTTTTACATAAGATACCTTTTCGCTTCCGTTTTTAACAAAATAAAAAACCTAAATTATGTCGATGGACAAAAAAAATATATAAAGTGAAAACATGTTGTCTGTTTATAAATGAAAAACACAAATTTTGATAAAAAAAAAAAAGAAATACCTATTTAGAAAGTAAAGCACATGCATCCGCTTAAATAAGTATCTCTATGCACTGAAGCTTAAAAAATGTAAAATAGTAAGAAGCAATTTATGCGTGAAGTGTATGGTAAATAAGCTCTCGAAATCGAACAATTGAAACAACAAAAACTCTTTAGGCTCAAGATTTCCTCTTAAAATTGTTCGTTGTTTTGACCCCTTCTAATTCATTGCAATATATTTATAAAACACCGCACCTGTGTGTCGAGTGTCATTTGTCGGACAAATAATGGCGAAAAATGTAAACGTCTAAAATATCAAAATCAGAACTAGTTCTATCTAATTGTTTATTAAGAACATATTTTTTCTTTATTAATTATGATTAGTGTTTTGATTTTTAACAAACAGAAATCATTTCTGCTAAAAGTTAAAGATAAATTATTTTTATTAATGTATTATTGTGATTCATTAAAAAAAAGTTAAGATATAACGAGAGACTCAATTTAAACGAGCTGTGAAGATCTGAGAAAAATATCTACATAAACTAATGAGCGAAAAAAGTTTGACAGTTTTTTTGAAGCCATTGCAAAGGACAATTTAATCTACTTTCAAATTTTGTCGTTATTTTAAACAAAAACGTAAATTTTGTAATCAACCTAATACAATCTTTAAAATTTTCCAAAAGGTCAGGTCTAATCCGATGTATATTTGAACAATGTTACTTCAAAAAAAAAAAGGAAGCAACCCAACAGCTAATTCCTAATTTTTCAAATTCTATAAGCTTTACGATAAAATCGTAAACTTTAAAAATTGTAGCTAAAATTAAAATAAAAAATAAAAAAAAAAATTTCGCGCTATTTCAAAACCGATACAATAAAAAATGCAATATTTATTAAGCTTAACATGCATGCTGTGCGCGAGATTTTTATACAATTAACATATAATATATATACACATAAACAAGTCGTAATAAAAACTAATTTTTAATGACGATTTTCGTCTACTTACATGCTGGGGAGAATTGTTATTTGCGCTGTTTAACATGACTCTGGAATCGAATTTCACGAATTTATTTATATCTTGGTGAAATCTTTTGTGCTATTTGTATGCTAATTAAACAGGGGTGTACGGTTTTAAAAATTTCGTTGTCTATTTTCTTATTTTAGTAAGTTCTTCGAATCAAAACTAACAAAGATACAGAATTTCAAGCGACCGACCCAATGCATAAATTATCCAGTACATAAAACTTTGAAGCGATTTTATCGCAAACGTCATTATAAAGTCGGCGGACATTCAAAAACAAAGAGTATGATTATGATATTACCAATATTCCGAAAAAAAGACTATACCGAAATTAAACTAAGACAGAAGCTCAAAACTAAAAAAATAAAATAATTTTTATTCAAAATGAAACATACAAACATAAATGAAGAGCTTAAGCTTTAAGTCTAACTTGCATTTGAGCACAAATGTATGTATTTACTTCATATTTCTCTTTTCGTTCTAGTTGTTGATTTTGGTGGATATTGAGGTGTATATTTCTTACTTCACCTTAACTAAACTAAACGCTAGCAAATAGAAGGCAAAGACATAAAAAATGTCAAATAATGCGGAGAATACAATCTCGACTTTTCAAATAGGAGAAAACTGTTTATATCCGCAAGCATTATTGGCATGCGTTCATTCGCATGCATGTAACATTAAACATACAAATAAGTAATACATATGTATGTTTATTTGTATGTTTAGTTACACGATTCAATCGATTTTCGTTCACTCACGCTCTCTTGGCGAATTGGGACCGCGGTGCGGACTGCAGCCATCGACTGCCTGGCCAAAAGTGCACTATACCATATACTATGTATATATGCTATTCACTATGTGCTAAGCACAGTACTTTGTGGCACATTAAGTAATTATACATTTGAAATAATAGAATATACATAAAAAGTAGGTATTCCCATCTGTTTTGTTAAACAGCGACAGCGTAGAGCCACTAACCAAATGCAATTCATACAAGAATGGACGCGAACTTATTGGCTTAAAGAGCCACTTTGGTTGGGCCCAGAAAGTGAAACGGGTAATGGGAAATGGAACGGAATGGTACGCAATCAGTGTTGCCAGTTTAGCCCACTTCAGACTAGATCTAGCATATTTGAAAATGGAAAAGCTTTTACAAATTGTAAATAGCCTATAGTCGTAAATGAAGCATATTTTTATAATGCTGCATCACATACAATTTGCCAGCAAAATATTTATGTCGTATACACACAAACGATAAATTTGGTAATGAAGTGATCGATTTAAAATGAATAAGCACATTCAATATAGACCAACGTTAATAATACTTGTTTTTTTAAATGGATTTTAATCTTTTATATTCGTATATAAAAAATATCTTTACATACATTTAATAAGTTGCAGAGCTGTTGTTGAACACCAACAGTTACATATGTATATTTGTATTGCATGAAAGAAGATGTTTGTTTAAAATGTTGGAATTATAATGAGAAATTTTTTTTTCATTTGGATAAAAATAGGCTAAAAACTAAAAATAAAAAACTGTTTTTATTTTTAGTTTTTGGCCTATTTTTATCTAGAATTTAGCCAATGCTTTAACTTAACACCTGGCAACACTGGCGTTATAACTACTATCATTAATAACTTATTTTTTTTTGTATGTTTGTTTTTTTTCCATTCGAATATAGCTTGCTTTTCAGCATTTATTTTTAATTTTTATCCTATTTGTATTCAGAATTTAGCTTATGCAGGAGCTTAACTTCTGGCAACACTGTGCAGCGGAGAAACCTTTCTGTTCCTTGAATTTCCGCTTTGATGTTGGTCGTAATGTTACGTCGCATGTGCTTTTTTTGCATGTGTGTTCTGGCTACGTAATAGCCAGGAAATGCCTTTGAAAAGGCCTACTACTTCTGCAGCATCTATCTATTGTTTTATTTCCAAGTCGGAAAGGAGATAAAAATAAAAACGTAACGAATCGGTAGCTTTCGCATCCGAGTATGCTTCATATACCTTTTAACGCCAAAAACCGAAACAAACTATCGACTTTTATCTTTCGCCTTTTATTTGCATAAAATGTCCAATATTCAGTGTGACACATACATACACACGACTGCACACTTACAGCTGCTGTCAAAATAATAGTGATGGGACAATGTAAAGTTCCCAAAACATACCTTTAAGGCACTGGACGACCACTTTTAATTTATCATAGTGCTACTTACCAATAAACACAAAAAAAAGCCTTTGATATTTATTGTTAATAGCTGTTAATAATTTCTTAAAACTTTTGATTTGGTGAAGTAACTGCTTTTATAACAATTTTTATTAAAATACAAATATTTTTAATATCTGATATATTTGGAATATTAAAAATTTATCAATATTTTACTTTGATCAATTTGTTTTTAAATACTATATTATATTTTCTTGACCGCAGCTGTATGTGTGTGTTTGTGTGCGCGCACATACATGCACACACTGTGTTTTTGTGTGCCGATTTGTTCTGTTCTCTGGCTACTGCATACCTTTTTTGCTTGGGAACGAGCTCTAATTATTGATTTTTACTAAGCTATATCGGCAAAGAGTGTCATTTGTTAGTGGTTCTGCATCCTACCTGCTGTCTTCTGTTTTTTTATGTCGCTCAGGAGGGAAAATGGGTGGCTGCTATTGGCTGCGACGGGCAATTATTTAATTTAGCGGCACTCGGCACTTAAGAAAAAAAGAGAGCACACACTGGCATGGCCGGACAAACAAATCGATTATTTGTTTGTTTGTTTGTTTCAATATCGCTGCTGCGCTCCTCTGCTTCTTCTTCTCTTTTGCAAACAATGTCCGAAAATTGCAATCACGGTTCACTTATTCAAATGTAAAGATTTTTGGTTCGGTTTCGGTTCATTACATTACATTACGAAAAATAACAATGACACTTGGTTAGTGCTGGAACAAAAATTGACGTGCCTTCGATACTATCGGTGATGCCATTTTTGTTTTCCCTGCAAAAATCGATTAATTGTGTGTTTCTAATGTATTCTAATTGAATTTAATATAATCTAATATTTAATTTAATTATTTAACACAGTGGAAAATTTGTACAATCAACAAATGTGTTAACAATAAATGTGTATAAGAGTCATTCGCCCCGAACATATCTGGTATTTCCAGTTAAAATACTAATTCTTATCGATAATTCAGAGCGCAATCTTTTGATTCTTGACGCACTTTTTAAAAGTAATCTATATTTCATTCCTTGATTGGTAATCAGAAAACGTAATGCTTGTTTTCGAGTTTACTTAAAAATAGTTTGATAGTATTTTATTCTTGGCCACGGAGTCAGGAAAATTCAAATTAAAAAAAATATTGACAATAGAATCAGGCTATTATTTAATAGCTGCGGAAAATATTTTACTTTCTAAACTAAAACTTGTATATAGGTCTGCACTATATGATAAATACTCGTAGACCGATCAGCTGCTTTTGCAACATCAGTTGCCTGTGTAAATGGGTCGCAACAACCCTGTTCAGTGGCTGTGTGTGACCATGAAGGCCTTATCCTAGACAACAACCATTATTAACAATAGATAGCTGCTCAATATATTTTATATTCGGTGATATACAGCTAAGATAATTTTGCCTATTTATTTATTGTCTGATATATCATAACGTTTAGTAAAAATGTTAAACGTATTTCAATTTAAAACCGATTAGTGAAAAATATAAGGATAAGCTTACAAAAAATTACTGACTGTTGCTGAAATTTCACTAAAAGACTATATAGTTATGCATGCTTACATATAATATCAGTTTTAATTTAAATACGATTATTTTTTAACGATATATGGCTAATCACCGAATATCGATGTATCGTTAAGCTCGATAACGCTTGTGTTGACACTAAAAAATACCACGATCCGCAAAGGCGCCAAAATTTATCGGATAATAAGAACAAAAGAAGCGCCGCAAAAAAGTGAAAAAACACAAATAAAGAACAAATAGCGAAAAATCTAGATATATGGCGGTGAGTAATGGTTAAGTAGTATGCAAATCGACTGCTGCACTCGCTTAGTAAACATTAAGGCTTGATTGATTGCCAATTAGTCATAAGCGCTATTAAATTTTTGTAGATGCTAAACCTTGTTCTCGCCTCGTCCCCTTTGCTATTACTGTCTCGCTCTGGCAAAATGGAGTCGATTTCATTTTAATGTCGATTTTCGCGTAAATATCTAATTAAAATACGTACTGCTGCGGTCATAATTATAGTAGTGGGACAATTTAGAGTGCTCAAAAACATTCCTTTAAAGCATGAAAAACTTCTGTTTGGATTTATCTTAATGTTAAGTTACCAAGGAACAAAATTAGGGTTAAAAAACTTTTGATATTGTTTTTATTTTTCAAGAGAAATTAAAACTGTTAATAAATCTATAAAGTTCACTTTTCAAAGTAATGTAAACAATTTTTTAATATATGAAAGAAAATAGCCCAAAACCCTGGCTCATCTTCGCTCTATTTTGGAATAGAAATATTTTTAATATCTGACGTCTTGAGTAAAAATTAACATAACTTACAACTTCGTTGTTTTTTATTTATACAAAAATATTATGAAGTAGTACAATTATTATTTTTAGCAATGAGGTTTTATTTTTATTAAAAATCGAACAACGATATCATAAGCGCCATAGGAACGATAGTAAAATCGACAAATCTTCATTCATATACGCATTAAAATAAATTTAATAGAATATTTAATATTTGTAAGAGCTGCAAGGGTGTATAAGCTTCGGCTGGCAGAACTTTGTTTCCTTTGCTGATGCACTTGTCCTTTTACATTTTCAAGCATTTCATTGTAGTTTCTGTATTTTTAGTGTTTTTGGTGCAAACACATAAATCAAGCCACAAAAGAGTACGTAAATAACCTTGGGTGAATAATTATTAGTTTGGGTTAAAAATATCCAACTTAATATATAGAAAGAAGCGTTTTCGTCGTATATAGCTTCTATATATAAGATTGATCCATCAGATCGGAGTGAATGCAAATCGATTGAGAATAAGATTCCATTAAGTCTTTTTGAATTTTATTCAACCAAGACCACTTATCTTATATCTCTTATTAAACAAATTCAGATAAATACTTTTGGAGATAGAGGCTTATTCTTAATTTAACTATCTATTTGTACAATGTATTTTGAGTAATTAAATTTTTACATTATTCAAACTAAATGTTTTACATAACTTAAAATATTTTTAACTTGGGAAACTTTAACAAGTTTCGTTTACTCACCTGCTTTTCCTAATTCGTATTATGAGTTAGGAGATTTCAACTCCACCCAGCTAATTAGGTAGGTAGTGGGTGTTGATCATGCTCTTTCACTAGTATTTGCTAAATAAATCACTCCCGCTACCGTTGTACGACCTCTGAGGCCGCTGAGTCATGAGACTTTTCCTTTAAAAATCATTGGCATTGCGGTTCTAAATGGACCTTGGCAGACAGCGGGTCGACACCAGGCCTTCGGTGACGGGGAGTGGTTGAAATTGGTAATCGCGAACCCCGAAGACATTTCCCATTTATCACAATCGCACTTGTGCTTGTGTTTTTGTTTGCCGGTGCCAGTTCAGTGGCATAATTTTTCACTTAACGCACGACTATAAATACCCAGTGCTGCAACACATGTAAAACTATATCTAAATTCACATACAAATACACCTGCCTGTGGTGTCACTGTGATTGTTGATAGTTACCTCGATGATTATGCGTTTCATATGGCCAATATTTTATGCGATTAAATGCGGTGCGCGCTTTGCTTGCTTTTATATCAGTTTTCATATAATCTCACCCGTAATTTAAGACAGTAAAAAAGACATGTTCGACCATAAAAGTATATAGACTGTTCATTAGGATGACCAGGCAAGTCGATCTGGCGATGTCCATGTCAAAGACTTTTTTAAATACCTACGAAATGACTACTAATGGAGTATTAAATGTTTTAAATTAAAAAGATAGATAATCTGCAATTGTCACTCTGTTTCGTCAAAAATAACTATTTTTGACAATAAATGACAAATGAAAAAAAAAAATTCTAAATTAATCCAAAGTGCATAGCTAAGGGAGAACATTTCTTAATTAACTTTGTTTTTTCCTTTACCTCTTTATTCATATGCATTTAAATAATCGATTAAAATTGTTTTCCATTCTTTTGACTTTTCTTTGGAAAAGTTTTTAGTTGCTGATGTTTGGGCTTGGTGGTGACCCCAAACCATTGTTATTGAGTTTTCAGAGAGATGACTTAATGAAGCTAGTTTTTCCAAATGACAACCATCCCACATATCGTGGGTCCGGTGCATATGACTCCCGTGGAGGCGGTGACCCAATCTATGACACACACTGCAGCGAGAAGGATTTTGTGCGCTGTTTTTCGCTCTTTTATTACTGTTATGACATTCAATAAGCAATTAGGCATTAATCACTGCCGGGGGCAGCATTAATCACCCGAACCGAACAGCGGTTCAAGCCCAAGCTCGATCGCAACTCGGAATCGGATTCGGAATCGGAGTGCCGAAAGCAAGCCTTCAACTTATGCATATTAGCGGAGAGCTGGAGCTACAAGGGGCTGGGTTTCTATCTACGAATAGTTGGCGACATACATAGCATGTCGCATTCGTCGAGACGCCGATAGAGACAGAATAATCCCTCTTGCAAGACATGATGTCACCATCTGTTTATAACTCGCCGGTCAGCGATGCAGATCAGTTCTGAAATCAGTTAGTTAGGTTGTGGTTGGGGAGAGGCGGAGCGGAATGGATCGGGATCGGGTAGAACAGATTGTCCCACGCCCACGCGGGACACGCGCCAAGAGCAATCAATGTTGTTGTTGTGTTTTCAATGGTCGACGATCGACATACCCTAAAATCTTTCAAATAACCTGGATCGAAATATTGCTTATAATACAGTAGTTCGCTATGAGTCTTATGTGTAAATTCTAAACAAATGGGGTTAAAAACAGCCACATGTCAGTATAGAGTTGATCAAAAGAAAAACTAATCAAATTTGCATTAGCTATGAACAAAAAAAAACTCACAAAGCATCACAAAGACTTGGGAACTTGACCAACTACAGTGGACATTCAAAATACCCAGAGTCTAAAAAGAGTATCACTTCAGAGGCATTGAAGGCAGCAGGTCAGGTTGATTCAGATATAGTGCCCCGGGCGGGATGACGTCGGGTAGTGCCAAGATCGATCGATGAGCGATCGCTTATTGTATGTTTAATAAAAACAGGCAGATAGATCAAAGCAAAGGCAAAAATCAGATAGTTGGATATTAAAGTTGGATTTTATTGTAATTCTTTTAGAGTGTGATCGGTTGTGGTCGGATGGATGGCTTACAGAGATATAGTTAGAGATACAGATATTGATGGGCATACAGCGAGCGTTAGAGATACGGGTACGGCTATGGAGAAATATGGAACACACTGGATAGGATAACCTGGGGGATGAGTGTTAAGTTATCGACTATTAATTATAACTCAGTTAGACATAGATTTGATTGGACTTCGTTGCTGTTGTTCCTCTCGCTTGGCTTTCACATTCTTAGTCGGCTAGATCTATTTCCCGTATAGTTTTGCTCTGGTCAAAATTACACAAATAACATCTGGACTGGACTCGTTCGACACATTCGACACTTTCTTATTATTTCTTACGTTTGTTTTAGCACAGTTTGTGGGAGTTTTCTTTGTTTGTTTCTTGCGGTTTGTGAACATACACACATATATAGATCTTTAACTTTAGCAATATCATGAATATATATAGGTCTATAACTATACAATAAAATGGGACTTTCTGTCTAAGTGTAGTTAGGTTTTCAATTGGTTTTTGTGCTCCGTTTTTGCCTGCAGCTAAGTTCGGAGTGCTATTCGCTTTTTTGAGACAATAAACAACTTTGATCTGTGATTTATTGTTAATCGTTCCAGGTACTTTTGTAGCGCATGTTGTGTTCAAGTTCTTTGTTTTCGTTAAACAAACTTTGTGTTGCCTACAACTAAAAGCTAAAGATGATGGGTACAGGTCAAGGTCAAAGGTAAGGTCAAAGAGGTCGAAATGGAAAATGCAGATGCGCCACTAAAGAATGGATAAGTCCTGCGTGAATGAGAGCGATGGGTGTCTATCCGATGATGTTGATGTTGATCTATCTATCTTCTATTAATAAGATATCTCCGCCTTTCAGCTGCAGGCAGAAGCGTAGCCCACAAAACCAATACTCAAACTCAAACGCGACTCTTTAAGGTCATATTTATGTAGATTTATATTAGAGAATATTAATCAAAAACAAACAAACAAACAAATCGAGAAATAATACAAAAATAAACGAAATTTACAAGCGAAGACTTTTCTTTCGTCCCCCGATTTGTTTTCGGGGGCTAACATCATGGACTTGATTGCATTTTGCCATTTACAATTACGGTTTACAGTTAACATTTATAGTTACGAATTACATTTAACATCGAATGTGGCAACCCTGGCAGCTACTTCACTCGCCTGACCTGAGTGGTTGTAACTTGTTTAAGTTGTTCGTTTTTATGTTTTCGCTAATTTTTTTTGGGTTTTCAATTTTTTTTTTTTGGTTGGAAGCTGAACGTAATATCAATTGTCGGCGAGTGAAGATTCTTCCCTAAATTCCTCTAGGGTTGCCCTTTTTTGTGTGTGCTTGTGTGCGAGTGTTTTGTTTGTGTGTGTGTGAGGTAAACTTTGCTTAAGGTATGATCAATACAATTTTCAATTTAAAATTTCAATTTCAAGCGGAAAGGCTTTTTGTGGTCTACATGCTTAACAATCCTATTGGGGATTTTGGGGTAACATAACATATGGTAGACTTGATACAACTAGTGAAAAAGGCGGTGCTCAAGAGGCTTGAAGAGCTCAACGGGTTCTTTTACATGTACATGGGTGTTATAAATAGTTGGATTTTCGTATTTTACATAGATTTAATTAATCGATTATCATTTATCGGTATCGTTGGCTAACTCTTTAGTACAAATTGAGGCGTTTACGATTATGAAACAATTTCAAAGCACTTGTTGTGAAAGGAATTATATTTGTTTTGTTTTTCTTTTGGGTTTGATGCTCCTTAGGCCACTTTTTGGTGTTCACAGCTGTTTGTACACACACTTTTGTATATACATATATAATTGTTATATCCGTGTATAAGGTATCTATATATATATAAAAACTCTGCTTGAATTCGATGATCAAGCAATAGACACACACAAATATATATGTTTTGTTTTGCTTTGTTTTAGTACACGCTTGTATATATGTTCTTCAACTTCTACTATATGTATATAATATAAATTACAAAAGTTTTTCTTCGTTAAACTGTAATAAGGCGCAAGTTGAAAGGAGTTTGCAATGTTTAAATTTTAACAGCACTTTAAGGTTTCGATTCCACCAATTCATAGATCATACATATCTCTTTCCATTTATATCTTGTATATATATATATAATATATAATATTTAGTTATTTTGTTGTTCTTGTATGTGTAGATTAGTTTTGCAAAAGAATTAATAGTTAGTTAGTTTTCAATTGAATGTTATTTTTTTTTTGTCGTTTTAATATTTGATTAAGGCAACAGCTTACACAATTTTTGCTCATCGTTTAAAAATAGCTTACAAAGTATGGACACAAAAAAAAAAACAAAAATTCATACATGTATATTCTGTTTATAAGGTTTATATATAGGGTTTATCACTGACTAAGCCTAGGTTTTAGAAAAAAATATCAAACGTCATCATGTATCGCATGGGCTTCCCATTTCTTCTACTGCTACTGCTTTGAATTCTCAACATGAATTTCCCTCCTTTCTAATCTCTCACGATTGTTTACAGCTATATATATATATATATAGAGGCATAGTTAATATAATTTTAAGGCTTCGTTGGGAGCAAAGAGCAAACAAAAATACGCTTGGAAAAGAATTGAACAAATTAAAATTAATAATTACTGATGCGGATGTGACTGCTCGCAGTTGATCACTGCTTTACTTCTTCTCTCGACTTCCCTTTTCTTGACATTTCGCAGACTTGCAATGGAATGTTATCGATATACCTAGTTATCGTATCAAAAGTTTGGTTATGTACAGTTTTGCAAGTGCTTTTGCTTCTTCTCGCTGCGCGTGTGTTTGTGTGCTCTGGTTCTTTTGCTTTTTTGTCCATCTCCTTACTCCTTAAAACTCTTTAATGATAGTTACTTGTTAGTTGTTTCTGCTTCTTGCTTCATGAGGTAGTCAAGCCACAGGCTGGATGCCGCTCCAGGCGGACTTGGGATCAAAGGACCAGGGTTTTTTTTGTTGTGGGCGGGTATGGATCTGGGGTTGGGCATGATATTCGAGTGGTATTTGATTGGATCGCGGGATCGTGGATCGGGGGACTTTGCTATTGGAAGAACTTGGATTCCGGGAGTTTTTCGATATAATTGGAAATTGTACTTTGATAAAAGAGTTGGCTAGATTATTGTAAAAAAAATAAACACAAAGTTAAAACGTTTAATTTTAAGTGAAAAAGAATCAGATATTCAAAACCAAACCGTAAAATTTGAAAACAAATATAAAAAATTAAAAATAGTTTCGGACAGTTTAAAAAAAAATGATTTAGAGTTTTGGGTAAAGTATTAAGGGGATATTGGATTTTGGACCGGATTGGATGGGTTTTAAGGGGACTGCGGCTTCTTCTTATCTGTTCTCCTGCTTTCGCATTTGCTTTTGCTTAGTCAATGAGTGGCGGTTAAGATTAACATAAGTATAGGGTAGGGATGATGGTCTAGCACCAGTAATCTACATGAGCCCATGCCGGATCCTGCTCCTCTCCGAGTTGTAGCTCCATTTCGAGTTCGAGTTCCACCCGCCGATCGAGTTGTGTTGGACTTTCCGGCGGATCTTCCTCTTTCTCTGAAGGATGTTGCTGCAGCTGCTGCTGCTGCTGATGTTGCTCCTGTTGCTGCTGCTGCTGATGTTGCTCCTGTTGCTGGTGGCTGTTGTTGTGGTCGAAGGCTAGGAGCAACGGTGCCCTTCCTCACGCCAGGCAACTGCCATTGTTCATGAAGGCGGTGGCCGAGTCCAAGTCCACATATTCGCCGCCATCCTCGACCAGCTGCGACAGCAGATCGGTGGCAAAGCAGCCGTTCTTCAGCAGCAACAGTTGCTCATCATCGTAGGGCGTCATCACACCCACACCCACACCCACTCCCACACCCACACCAACATTATTGCCATGCTGCAGGCCCGAATGGAAATCCATCAGATGGTTGTTATTATTATGGTTATTTCCGTTGTTGTCATTGCCATTCGTGTGCACCACGCTGGCCATGTTGATGCCATTGATGCCGCACGGCGAGGGCAACACACAGGCATGCTTGATGTCCGGAAAACCATCGCTGGACTCGAACAGGAACCTCTCCGCACTTAGGGAGGTGGTATAGGGACTCTGCGAGTCCACCAGCTCGTGCTTTACAAACTCAATGGCGGTGGGCGTTGTGCTGGTGTTTCTGGTGTTGCTGTTGTGGCTGCTGGTGTTGTTGTTGTTGCTGCTGCTGGTGGTGTTGCTGTTGTTGTTGCTGCTGGTGTTGTTGTTGCTACTCATGTTGCTGCTGTTGTGGCTCGGATTGCTCAAGTTGCTGCTGCTCAGGCCATCGCAATTGGGCACATAGTCGGAAATTAGACTGGGACTACTATTCACCTGTTGCTGTTGCTGATCAACCACATTGTTGTTGTTGTTGTTGTTGTTGCCGGCGGGATTAAGGGACTGTTGCTGCTGCTGGTGCTGCTGCTGCTGCTGGTAACCGGCATGCTCAAACTCCTGAGCGCTGGGCGATGGCTTGCAGTAGCCAGTGGGTAGCTGTTGTTGCTGGGCCATGGCCGCCGCCGTTTTGGAGCCAAACTTGAAGGTGGCCATCGAGGGTATGCTCTGCAGCCGCTGGTGGCTATTGGCATTGCCGGAATTGGCCATCTCGCCGCCCACCACCACCGTTTCCAGTTCCAGTTCGCTGAGATACTTCTGAGCCGGCGACTGGAGAAGCTGGCTGGGCAATTGACAGCCCGAGGATCGCTGGCAACCGTGCGATTGCAGCATATCCAGGATGTTGCGTCGCTCGATCTCCAGCAGACGCACCTGCTGCTTCAGCTCCACATTCTGGGTGTCCAGCACTTCCGACTCCTTGATCAGATTCTGGGTGCGTTCGCGCTTCTTCATCCGGCACTTGGTGGCCGCGATCTTGTTCCGCTCGCGACGCCTCCGCCGCCGGTCCTCATCCTCCGGCGTCAGTCCCTTCGGCTGCGACTTGGTCTCGCTGTCATCCTCGTCACTCGACTCCTCGCAGTCTAGGTCGTCCAGGTCGTTGGCGTTACTCATGCTGCCGCTGTAGTTGTTGTTGCTGCTGCTGCCACCGCTGTTGTGCCCGTTGTGGTTGCTGCTGCTGCGCCGCGAGTACTTTGAGTGCGGCTGCTCCGATCCGGAGCTGGAGTCGCAGGTGGACAGCTTGCGCTTGCTCTGGATGGAGAGCTTCAGGCCCTCCTTGATCAGGCGCGAGCAGGTCTGAAAAAAGGCACAAGGAACAGGTGAAAAGTTAGCGGTTAGAGGGCTTTATGATTAAGGTGAGTTACCCTCACTTTACAGATTTAAAAAAAATGGAATATTACAAATATTTAATATCTGGCTTTTGAATAAAAATTGTATATTTCATAGTTTTTGGATAGTAAGACTCTTCTTGTCTACTTCATTTAAAGGCGCTAACAGAAAATACTAGTATATGCGAATTTAAGTCTGGGTACACTTTTTTTCAGTCTGTGAACGTCCTTCGCGAACATGTTAACCCGAAAAGTGGTTTGTCACCGATTACCAAAGTGGTTGTCACAGAAGCGTTCCAAAGAAGGCAGCTCAAGTTGCCCAAGACAGGCCGACAAAATCGGATTCGGATATCAACTACTCGCTGACATTTCCAACAGATTTTGAGTACACGATCAATGGTTTTCGTTCTTAGATTCATTATAATTTGAAATATATGGCTTAAAATATTATCTTTGTTTAAATAACTTTAAGCGAGATTCTCAGTAATAAGTGTTTTGTGTTATTTTTTGTAAAAATGTATACGTAGCCTTGATCTAAACTGACTGCCCTGTGTAAAGGTGAAAAGATGGGAAGTTGGGAAGTAAGAGCTCGACACAGTTTTTCGAGAGTTGGCCGCCCTTCAGAGGCAGGCAGGTAGATATGACGAATCGCGGACGGATTTCGAGGAGATTATCTCCAGCGGCATTTCCAGCTTTGTTTGTTTATTTGACCGGTGATTTACTCCCCACTACCTTTTTTTTTACGCTTTGGTGTAGGGCTTGGCACCTGGATTTGGGCTTGGGCTTCGGTTTCGGCTTGGGCTTGGGCATACTCAAAAGTTGCACATGAGTTATAAATATTAAAATGATCAGATAGAAATCTGCGACGACAACGGTCGTCTCCACGCCCAGAAAATGTTTACTCTCTCTCTCTCTCTGTGGCCCGAAAACAAGTGCATGCGACGACGGTGGTCGATGGCGGGTGGACTGCCTTAAAAACGAAAGCCAAAGCCAAAACCAAAACCAAAGTAACCTCGATAGCCAGCCTGCCAGCCTGGGCCAGTTCCATTTATGGAGCTCAAGACCCCAGATCCCCAAACCCCAAACCCAAAACCGCGACAGATGGTCATCACACCATGCCGCGCATTGTCAACTTTCATTCAACGCTCACTGATTGACTGCAGGCTGCGTTCAGCCATGTAAGTTAATGAAATGCCCTTAAGTGGACTCAAAATGCTGACTTAAAAGGTGGTTGCACAATTGAAAATAATAAATAATAAAGGGAGTATTAAAAACAACAAAATTAAGGTCATTTTAAAATTTATCTATTGACGAAACATTTTAAATTTTGCTAAACTTATCATTGAATATAGTGGTGTGTCTAATGCAATAAATCATCTCGAAGTATGAAATCCAAAGGTGCTGTCAAAATTGTGCCTTTAATTAGTCCTTTCCATTTGCAGGTCATTGAACTATAAAATTTATATGACATTTTTAAACTGAAACTTACAAATCCAGCTATACATTTTGCTTAACAGATTTTTAATATATACTTTTGACTCTAGTGCAATAAATTATTTTGAAATTTGAAATCCATCAAAGGGGCTGTCAAAGTTGTGCCTTCAATTAGTCCTTTTAATCCACAGCTCATTGAAATGTCGACCAGACCGTCGCCCCTTTTATTTATTTTTTTCCCCCCTTTGTCGCTGTTGTTTTTGCTCAGTTTTGTTTGTTTTCGAGAAATTGTTCGAATGCCACTGATTGAACGCGCCCTTCTTTTCAATTTTGCCTTGGCGCTTCTGTTAATTTTTTGGGCATCGGGTTCCATTTGAATTTTAGACACGCTGCGCTTTATTTATTGACCCAAAAATCAGATAAATAAATTTTGTGTTTAAAAAGCGACAAGTAAAGAAGAATGCCGAAATCGAAATCGAAAAAAAAAAAAAACGAAAACAAAATCAAAATCAAAATAATCGCATGCGCCATATTCCCCCCCCAAAAAATCCAAGTCGCTGGGAAATCGAAGCCAATGCATGACCATATGGTCAGCGTCGACTCGTCGGGCAAAAATCTGTTGGAAAATTGTGAAATTGCGTTGGGGGAAATGGTGATGGAAATGGGAACGAACGGCGCAGGTTGCGGCTTCAGTCAAAGTGTTTGTATCTTTGTATCTGTATCTTTTTGTTTCGGTATCTGACTTTGCGGAACGGCCGAGCCTTTCTTTGCACTTCGCATCGCTGCAACTTTAGTCGCAAAATTCGACCGAAAAGAGTCAATTTTTGGGCTGGCAAATTTGCATTTTGTTTGGCTTATTTGCACATTTCTCACTCGTGTTTTGTTTGCCGTTCTTATAATTTCTCCTTATTTTTACATTCCCCCTTTTAATTTGCGTTATTTTTCGGCAACATTTGTGCAAATATTTGGCGTGCAAAAAAAAAGAAACAAAGACAGCGGAGAGAGGGCAACGGAAACCTTTGGCTGAATCCGGGTTCGATTCTCTTGGGTTCAACTGGGGGTTAAATTCCTTGCAAAAATGTATGTACTAAGGCAAATTGAATCAAGGTTTCCTCTTATGCAATCGGTAATAAACCACTAGACTTTTAGTGCCATAGTTAAAATTTAATTGAATGTCATTAGTTCAAAATTTGAATGAAAACTTTAAAACCTTTCAGTCTTATGTCCACAAGCGAAACAATTCATTAGTTGGAAAGAAAAAAAACACATTTTGGCAACATTGAAATCTAAAGTGGTTATTAGGTTTTTTTTATTTCAACTTGTATTGCAAGTCCGCTTATCTTCGTTATTATCTTTCCATTGTCTTTATTATCTTTATCTTTAATGATTGACTGATATTTTTTTTACTTAACTAGCTGCGTAAACGTAATGACATTTGTTTTCCGTAGGTTATAAAAGATATAGGCGACCGATTGGCGACTTTTGCAAAACGTATCTTTAGGAGTTTCCAGATGTGAAAGGCCATACAACCGGGACTCCCCATTAGGTACATTTACAATTCAGTAGCCCAAACTCATTTCACATTGTTTGTATTCCATCGACTCATGCACTTGCAGTTTTAATATGACTTGAATCTGACCGGTTCAATTTGCCCAGTTTTTCATTCATTCATTTGTTCGAAGACTGTTTCGCCCACGCAGCACACGTCGCCGTGCAAAATCGGCCCACGCACGCTCTGTCTGTCCGTTTGTCCATCTGTCCGTTTGTCCATCTGTCCATCTGTCCGTCTGTCCATTTGTCCGTAAGTTTGTCCAAATGACACTGGCGTCAGCTTCGTGGGCGTCAATTGGGAGACGCTGCGAGAATTGATTTCACTTTTGCGGCACTGCGTTGGAGTATCTGCATCTGCATCCGAATCTGAGACTGAATTTCAATCTGAATCTGAATCTGAATCTGAATCTGCCTCTGCATTGGTAGTGGTATGGGTATTGGTATTGGTATTGGTGTGCGAGTGGGGAGAATCACTCTTGACTGACTGACATTGGCCTTAATGAGGCACGTAACTGCGGCTGCCGGTGGTGTCAACTTCAACGATTAATACAAGCACCACATACAAAGCTCTCTAGAGGTTGTGCAACGAACGCATCCCTAGTAATCCCCCGCTCCCAGTAATAATTGGCAGGTGTCTATGTACGAATGTGATTTACGATTATTACTTGAAACAAATTTATAGACGTTTGGTCGACGACGTAGCTTTTAATTGCCTGAAGTTAAGAGAGAGGCATCGTTTTTTTTTAATTTGTTTTTCAACAAATTTCTCATAAATAAAAAGCGATATTTTGGTGAATGAGCACCACTAAATCTTAGATCTTAAAAAAGGATTTTGTTCCTTGAGTTGCTTCTCTATATCAATTTGTATGTGACTGATTGCAGTTAAACCTTTTTGATTTATGTTTCCGGTTGGTTTTAGTTGTATTCACTAGCACAAGTACGCAAACTTCAAAAATATAAAATAGAGCTGAGGCGAGATAGATTGTTTTTTAAAAAGTCTTACTATATTTGCTCATAAAGTTAAAGTAACTGTGGCCGATCGCTTTAAAACGGACATCATCTTAAACTAAACCTTAAAAGCTAGCGTTAATAGGATTAGATACAAATAATATAAGATATGAATTAATATATGCTTAATATAAAATAGCTGGGACTGGAAGTTTTCGAAATCTAGAATCTAATGGGGGCCCCATTTATGTAATTATACGGTTTATTTGCCGTTCGTTGACTTACCTGTTGCACACTGGGCGTGGTGGCCGTGCCCGCTGGCGATTCGAGCGGCGATCCGGAGCAACTGGAATGACTGCTATCCTGCGAGTGCGACTGTAAATAGAGTATACGCACGTTAAGCATACGCCGTGTGGCACATCATCAAATCAAATCCTCACCTGTCCGTTGGGATTTCCGTTGAAGTGACGCACGGCGACCACCGGCGTGGATGTGGCAGAGGAGGATGCCGAAAGGGTGGCCGAAACGGCCGCCGCCGCTGATCCAAAATTGAAGTTGTCCAGCGGATTGGTCATGGCGATCAGCGAGTTAAGGATCTCGGGTGTCTTGGGTGTGTGGCCACCCATCAGGAGGCCGCTACCCTCGATGCTGAGCAGCGAGGAGGCCGGTATGTTGGAGTTGAACATGGTTGCACAGCACACACACACTCGGCAAACAAAAACAAAAACTAAACCGAACTAAAATTAAACGTAACGAACTGGTGCTTTCTTTTTTATTTCTTTTTTTAGTTATGTATTCTTAAATCACAGTTAAAGGCCTTCGCGTTGCATTGGTTGGTTGGTTGGTTGGTTGGTTGGTTTCCTACTATATATTATACAGAGTGGGTTCTGGAGGCACACACTTGGGTGGTGTTTTACTTTTCCGCTTATCACAACAAGTAAAACTCCCTTTTCTTGAACTCTTTTGAACTCTAGCGTTCTTGTCTCGGTTTATTTGGGTTTTTGGGTTTTTAGGGGCAGGAGGAATATGGCCGGTCCATCGGTTCCCATCGGCGCAGATCCCCGACTTTTGTTGTTCCTCAGAGCGCTAGGGCCGAGCGAATGCGTTGAACGTCGAAAAGCCGGCACCTCTCGCTTCACATCGACAGCGAATCTGCAAAATTCACAGAGAAAAAACACAAAGAGAGTGAGAAGAGCGTCAAATATACACGTATGTATATATACACAGAAAAAACAATGTTGGTAGTAAAAAAAAAAGTACCTGAATCTACTCATATTTTCAATTAAATATAAAATCAATACATTTAATAGAATGCATAAAAGATTACATCATCAAATGTTCGAATTAAAGTGGAGAAAATAAGACTGGTATTTTAAGTGCATTATATTTAAGTTTAAAATGGATTAAATATAAATTAAATTGAAAATATTGATAAAACAAATTTTAAAAAAAAATTATGATTCAATATAAAATATTCGAGTTTAAGTGGAAAACAGTAGTAATAGCAAATGGTGTTTTAACTGCATTGTATTTAAATTTAATATGGTTTAAACTTAATTATTGGAAACAATTCCATATAGTTCCATATTTAAAATGAATTAATTGAATTATAAAATACTTGCATTTACTAAGCATGTTTTAGCAGTGTAGAGGGAACGACACACAGAGAGACTTACGAACGTAAGTGCACAATGTCACCGTAAACAAAAGCAATTAAATTATAAAATAAACTCGTCCAAATTGATTCATGTAAGTCTTGGCGTGTCACGTGATCATCTAGCCTACAAATCACGATATCGTGATTGATCACGCACCAAGAAAAACCCCCCGTCTCCCGTCCATCCCCCACATAGTCAACATGCTTCAATTAAGCCATTAATCGGCTAATTAAGATCGGGCACACTTTCCATATAGCGTCTACACATCGAGTGGGAGGGTGCCACTGCCAATATATATAAAGATATATAAAAGATATGGTGGGGTTTTCAGGGGGCGTAACACATTCCTAACGGGTTGCCCGAGGTGAAGGTGAGCAGAAGGAGAAAATGCAGCGAAATTCCTCGGCGGCAATTGAAACGGAATTGAAATGCAATTGAAGGCAATCATCCATGAATTCGCTTGACTCCCGAGAACCCCTAAAAAGTGAAGTGAAGAGGAGAGGGCGGGGACTGCAGCGACTGGGCTGTATTACAGTCTAAAATTTAAATGAAAAACAAAATTGAAAGCGAGTTTAAATTCAAATAAATTATTAAAATGTTATAAAATGACATTACCTATTTTTAGTAAAGTAATATTTATAAAAAAAAACTTGTTTTACTTGAAATATAATGCCAAACATAAAAGTTAAACAGATAAGAGTTATAAATTAACTCTTAAGATGCGGTATATATCAAAAAGAAATTAAAGCAAATCGACAATGGGGAATCCCTGTATAATTTATATAATTTTAGAGCTTATAACTTGTAATGGCAATTCAATTAGCGTTTTGCTTGGAAATACTTGAATTACAAAGAAATTTCAGGGAATTTCTTGTTAATATTTTCCTACCACGTGGAAATTACTTCAAGCAATACAATATTATAGGTATTATAATATTTCTTACACTGCATTGCCAACTTAATCTTTCTAATTTCTGTCTCCAAACTTCACTTTATTTAAATGGCATTTCTCTGAAACTTTTCCCCTCCGCGGATTCTTGTGGCATTTCGAAGATTAACCATTTGACAAGGATCAGGGGATGGTTAATGTGGTGGTGGTGCAAAAAATAAAAGGGGGTGGTGGGCGGCTAGTGGTTGGGCGCAAATTCGCTCAAAATGCAAATTGAGCCTGTCAAACTTCAAAAGCCGAAAAGCAGAACACAAAAATCTCATTTCTGTCGGTTTTGTGCGTGAGTTCTGCTTTTCTGCCGCTTTGGCCTTTTGGCCATTTATCATATGGCCAAAAGTGTTTGCACTTGTGGTGGTAAATGCTTGATGTGTGTTGTATGTATATGACATGCTCTATAAGTTTTAGAGAGCCTCCCCTCATTTTGCCGATCTGTTCCAAACCGAAAGTCAGTCAGTCAGCAGCAAACAGCAAAACGAAGGCAGAATAAAAAATTATGATTTATGACTCTCGCATGTTTCTTTATTATTTTGGGGTTTCGGTTTTGGGGTTTGTTATTTTGTTTGTGAGAGCTTTTAATGCCTTCTGCTGCTGCCTTTGAAGAGGCTCTTTCCTTCGCTTCCACTGCAACGACGAAAATCACTTTTGACATTCGCCACGCACAAATCGCGCAAACACATCGCTTTTGGCCCGGCTCTTGTTTTCCACTTGGGGTCCGGCTTTGATGCCAAAGTATATTTTGACCAAATGCGGCGAACGTCAACTTCAAAATGCACATGCGTGGCCTCCCCGCGAGAACTTTTGGGGTCAGGGTAGCCCAAAGCTATAGCTGAAAACTGCAAGTCACAAAAGAGAGCTGTTTCACTTAAAACGATTGCAAACTATGATTTTTTCTTAATACATTTTTGTTACCACTCGAAGTTCTTTACTTTAAAACTATTAACTTCCTAACTTATAAGCCATAATTTCGTTGACTAATTTCAAATTATACTATCAAAATGTGGAACCAGCAACCTTTTGCTTGCACTTGCCACATTGACATTCCTCAGTTGTTTCACTGCTGCTTGAAAATAAAGTCATTTGCGGCTGATTTGTGGCTGGCATGTGAACTTCCACCAAGTGTGCGAGTTTTTGTTGCCAATCGAACCGATTGATGGCTACCAGATCGAACAGCAAATATCAAAAAGAGAGACAGAGAACACAGAAGCTTGCGCAACGATCGATGAAGATATATGCGGAGAGATCGTGTGGAGAACAAAACCATGAATATGCGATACAGACGCTGGCAAAAAAAAAGCTACAAAATTCCATAAATTGTTTAACTAATCAGCGCGTACTAAAGAATTCATAAAAAACGAAACATTTTAACAATTGTTTTATTACACTATTAAAGTAGCATTGTTAGCTTTAGCACAAGTTACAGAAGGGCATTAACAAGCAGCTTGTTTAACGATGTACTCTTTATATTAGCGTTAAATGTTATCGATTCTAGCGTTTATCGATTGGTATTTCATATAATCATCGGTTAAAACGCACTTTTTTTTAACCTATTGCAACTTGATTTATCAACCATTTTTGAGCGATGTCACAACTGATCGGGGCATTTGCTCTGGTCACGTCGCTTTCTAAAATATCCCAAAAGTGTGACCGATGGGTGACTCAGAAAACGATTCGGATTCCCGTCCATTTGCATACGATTAATGCAAATGAATGTATTGTGAACCGGTGCGATTGCACAACGAGCATTATAATAACAACACCTAATAATTGCGATACATAATAATAATACTTCGGTCGAGGAGCACGGACCTGCATTTATCATCGGGGCGTGCGATGTGAAAACGCTGCATAAGTACATTAAGCATTTGAGTTATAATATATGAAAAATATAAATTTTGTCCGTACATCTGCCACCACGAACGTTTATCGTTTTTTTCTTCTTTGTTTTTGTTTGAGTTGTTTCTCTACGTGCCCCGGTCGCACTCCACATTTCACACGAGCCAATAAGTGGAAAAAAGGCAGAGAGCAGCGAAAACTATGCCCAGCGCCGTCGAAACATATTGAGACATTTTTCAAAAAAATATTTTACTTGAAACAGATCAACTGGAAATAAAACAGTGCAGGGCTAAAAAAAAGTGTAGTTTTTGTATATACGTTTTTTTTGGGACCACTTAGTTTAGTTACTACGCAAAAGCGTAGTAATATTTATCGTTCTGTCGTTTTAGATTATTAATTACCTTTAACATACCAAACCTTGTGCAATGTCCATTTCATGTAACCAATTCATGGAATGAAGCCTAAATGCGTGAAATGGTAATGCGCAACCAACTTAACTCTCTATAAATTATGTGGCAACGCTGGTAAACGATTAAAGCCGAATTTAAGTTAAATTCTTCTCGCCTTCTTTCTTTTTGCCTCCAGTCAGGGTGATTTTTAATTAGTTTTTCTGTTCGCTTTGGCGATGGTAAAGTACATATTATTAGCTGCAAAACTGTTACTAGCAGAGATGGCATACATGTTAATTTAACACATCTGGGTACCTCAGCTAATATTATTTCATGAATTCGTTTGTAACGCATAAACAATTGCTTTTTTTAGTTCATGTGAAAATTCATGAAACGATTTAGATATATGTTTTATAGGATTGAAAATTTCTACCTCACTGCGTTACCGGCTTCTGACCAGAATTATAACACCCTCTGCTCTGCAAGGGTATAAAAGCAATAATCCACTAATATGAAACCATTTGAGGCATCCACAATCGGATGTCTCAGTTTCCTGGAAACTATAACAGGGTTCTCTTCTGGTTTTCTGGTTTCTCCTGCGTCATCGGATTCCATTTCAAGCCTTTGGCCGTTGATGTTGTGGGGGAGGATTGCTCTCCATCTCCACATTGTAATGGAATGAAAACTTTGCCAACTTTGTTGTTCGTCATCTATTCTGTGTTCTTTTTCTTTTTCTTGGTTCTGATTCTCTTATTCATATTCCGAAATGGATTTGAGCAGAAAGTAGTGGGTGTTTTTCGTGGCAGTATCTGTATGTGGCCATAAAAATAAACTTTCATTGTCGGGAGACAATCGCTGCTGCCTTCTTTTTCTCGTTTTTTTTTTCCTATTTTTTGCTTAATTAAAAGCATTGCCAAAGCCAAACACAGCAGAAAGGCCAAAGGCAAACACGCAGCGTGTGGCGGCGAGTGTACGTATAGTATCTGATAGATACGAAAAATGCCTTGGTAGTACGGCGGGCGTGCCCTTTGTCAGCTGTTTTCCAATTAAGAGCTACTGCAGCCAGAGGGGGTTGCAAATCTCCTCGAGAATGGCACAAAAATTTACACTTTAATTAGGCGTTTTGATAGTATATCTATCTGCCTTTGATTAGTTTGCTAATAGGTGGTGGTATGGGGGATGGTGGGGGAGGGTTGGCTATAAACCCTAGCTCAGCTCTGCCATTAACATAAAAGTTTACGAATGGGCCCATGGATATACGAGATTGGGAGGGCTGTATTTCTCAGGCCAACCTCTACTCTCTACTCTTTAGACGAAAATGGGCCGCGTGGCGATTCAATTAATTTATTATTCACTTAAGAGCGCCACGGGCAAACAAATTGGGGGAGGCGTTTTCTTTGGCGATGACATAAAAATGTTATAAAAATTAAGCGCACACAAGGAAGAAGTTGGAGCGAAACAGGCCAAGAAGTTTTCGCACATTCCAAATGCTGCGTCCCACTGTCGTGCCAAAAATGTCCTCACAACGGGTGGTGCTGCAAATGGTGGGTGGATGGTGGTGGTGTTTTTGGGTGGTGCACATTCACTTATGAAGAAGGAACGCGTGGCGCAAATTTTATAGTTATAAACATTTCCGTGCACGTTCCGAGCGTTAAATTTAAGAGCCACAAAAACAAGACAGACACGCAAAAATATAAATATGAAAATTGTTTAAGGGAAGAAAATGGGAACGAGGGAAAACCGCACGGTTGAGTACCCTAAGAATTTGGGATTTTATAGTTAGAAAAAAAATATAGGTGTTTAGTAAATACAATCAAACATTAAAATAACTTTTGCCAAAATTAAGCTTATTGAAATTTCTTGTCAAAGTTCGTTAAACAAATAAAAAGCTATACACCTAAATTTATATTTATGTCCCACAGAAAACATATACTTCCCTGACCAGCGAGGGTATTTTAGGCCATAAAACTCAAACTGTCGGCGGCGAAGTGAATGAAATGCCTTGAAAATGGAAAATTATGGAAATGAATTGGTTGACAGAAGGACTCGAATTAGAGAAGCTGCCCAAAAATGCAAATGAATGGGGGTGAGTAAATTTACTACTCCAAAACTAAAACTCACAGTAAGTTTATCGCTTGGAATGCGGATTGTGTAATCGCGATTGGGATGTGTATGTACTATGTTTATATGTAGTATATTTATATATCTATAGTTATATATATCTTGTGCATCGAATTGCAGACGCCTGTTCCGCGTATCGGAATATCAAGGCATCGTGGTAGTCACTGCCTTTCAGATAAGCGAAATAAAAACGAAAAACTTGGAGTGCACTCTGGAAATACGCTTCTCTTTTTTTTTTTTAGAGGTGTGCGTGTGCAAGGACGTTCGCAATCGGAACATTCATTAAACTTTGTGTTTTTTATCAGGCTTATCAGAAACGCTGCGTGTCAAAAGATGTCTTATCGTTGCAAAACACGGGCAAATCTTATCTGCACACCACTGTGTTGGTGTGCCTACCACCCCACACTACCCCACACTTCCAGCTACCCTCTTCACTCGCTTTTCTCCGGGTCTATCATTCTCCAACTCTCCTGTTTTCCCGTTCGATTTGGCGAAATCTAATTAATTTCTAGAGCTAATTCCCTTTATGACATCAAAGCGATTTATGCTGATTAAGGTGACATTATCGCCGCTGCTCGCCGTTTGCGTGTTCTTTTTTATTTATTGTTATTTATGGCCACTCTTGTGGCTCTCTTTGTGTGTGGAATTTTATCAGAAAGCCAAATGAGTTTTGTTTGCTGTGTGGTTTTTCGGTGTCTTTTCATTCGTCTCCAAATCCATTTAGAGCACTTTTCGCACCTCGTTTCGGACTGGCCCAAAAAAAATACACTTGTACACATTTGTATCCGCTAGATGTTCTTCTCGGCCATGCGACAGCCAAAGATATTCTCTGAAACGACGGAATCTTCATCATCACAGCACAGCGGCGATCATCATCTCGTCATCTTGCCGATTTGTATGAAGGAATTCGCAATAAAAGTCTTTATTGTGTTTACTTATTGCGAACGGGAATCGAGAACGGCCAAAATGGAATCTCAGAAACACACAGATACACAAATTTACACACAGCTACAGAGTATATCTAATGGAAATTTCTGTGTTGGCGACGCGTTGTAACTAAAAAATAAAAGCAGTGGCGTCCGTCGAAAGGGGATGGCGCGGAGAGAGCAGTTCGTGGTCAATTCTTGGACTGCAACAGCGGACAGCTGTCGAGAGTTCGAGGAAATCCCCAGATCGGGGTACAAAAAAAGATTGCAATTTACTTCTTTGTTCACTACGCGGAAAATATTATTTTAAACATGCTAAAAATGTGTGCAGCAATGCAGAATTTGAAAATTAACTTTGAAACCCCCTTGACTGTAATTCTATTAAAATTTAAAAAAAAAACAAAATATTAAATTAATTAAATCAATACAAAAAGCAAAAATTTGCTGTTTTTATTAGTTTATTTGCAAGGATGGGAATCACTATTTGGTTTTTTATTTCAAACTTTATTACTTTGTTGGCAATGCACAGACTTTGGCATACTTGAGAAATCACTTATCATTTTAGTTACACAATTTGTGGCGTTTATTTATAAATCGTAACCAAGTGCACTAACATATGTTACAAATAAGCAGATCATGATGGAGAATATTTTCAACAAACATTAAACTAAATGAAAATTTTCCTAATTACGCTTTTTTTAAAGATTGTCTTTTTGAACAATATATCCTCGCCTTTTTCCCCTGCTTTGGGACTCTTGGAGTGCCAAAAAATGGGTAGTGAAAAGGGAATTTGTAGAATAATGTGATAAAGATGGGGGAAGAGAGCCATCAATTAGCGGACAACGAATGTGTCCCAAATGTATTTTTTAGCCCAGCCCCAGAGGCCACGCCCAGTGCACCTAGCTCGGGGCAGCTGGAGGGCACACACACACACACACACACACACACACACACTCATATATGTATACTGATGGGCTCCCCCACACACACGCAGATACACATATAGCTGGCATGTCCTTGACACATATCCTGCCATACGCTCAGCACGCACATCCTGTGCGAGTGTGTGTTAGTCTGTGAGTGTGTGAGTGGGCCAGCCAACGCCTTGTGGGGCTTCATCCAAACTTGGCCCTAATCCATTTGAACTATCCCCGTTCTCGGTTTGTTGCCAACTGCCAACTCGCTTCCTTGCCTTCACACAGAAAGAAAAACATATGTAAAATCCACATAGAAAAAAATTATATTTTACTATTCACAAAAATGTCATGAAATTTAATATTATCAATTAAAATAGTAGACATTTAGTAGTAAGAGTCTTAGGCTAGTAATCTTGTGGGTTCCAATCCTGCTTTGAAGCGAATTTTTTTTTTTTTTAACTTTTATTAACTGTTGATTTTAGGTCCACAAATGGTTCTCTCAAAAAGCATTGTTTGGTATGCCCATGGCTGGAGCACTAGCCTTCAATGATTGTTCAATAAGTTAAACTAATTATGAAGCGTTAACTATGTGTCTATTAATGAAGATAAAAAGAAATATATAAATTGTGCAAAAAAAAAACACAAACTTGATTGGATAATTGTTATTCTTTTGTGTGCTTTAATATTTAAGAGATATTCTAACATTTACATGGCAATTATGTATTTTTTATAGGTTTAAGAGTTGGTTTTAAATGTTAATGGTATATGTCAATGGTATATTTTACACATGTTTTTCTGTATGTGTATTCAAGGATAATAAAACAAATTCTCCTACTTTGTGGGCCAAGCGCAAGTTCTGCGGCTTCGGCTCTTTTGGCATGTGTGTGAAGTGCCGTAATATAATCCTAATGGAATTTACACTCAAACTTTACAATAGCAGGCAACAATAGCGAGGACACTGCGTGTCCTTTGTCATTTGTGGGGCGAAGGAATCTTTTTGCAGGAAGAGCCAACCGAAACAGTGGAGGGGAAACTAACTTCGAGGTCAAATTACATCCGAGTTGGGCTTAAGAGTGGAAATAAAAAACAACAACACAGGTTCCCAATGAATTGTAAGAAAATTGAACTGAAAAGAAACTTGTATATAAAGTTTCGAATATAAACAGGAAAATATAACAGAATTTAAACCGACATGGAAATTTTTCATTGGTAATCGAATTAAAAGTGAGAAACGAGTTATGTGTGACACCAGCAATTAAAAAAAAATATATATATTATTATAATTGAACTTAAATCGTTATATTTAGTTTCGCAACGTTCAAATTTTATAAAACTAAAACCGAGTTGTTGGAATTTTTTAAAGTCAAACAGGGAACAACTATAATTCCAAATCAATTAAATTAAATAAAGTGTGACCAGAAATAGACTGTTCAAAACGCATAAAAACCAATAAATTAAATTTTTCAAAACTTTGAGCGGAAACATGATCAAAAATAGCAAACGCGAGAACACATTGTAACCAAATTTTGTCTCGCTTGAGTTGCTAGGGGTTTTGGAATCATATTCGAATTTGGATTTAAATTGCGAAGGTCAAGTGCATTAAGGCGCAACGGAAACGAGGCGAAATGTTAACCGGCGGAGGGGAGGAAAAAAAAATAGAAAAAAAAACTAGAAAAAAACTCGAATCGCGCCACTTATTTTCTTATTTTTTCTGGCTCTCCGCAAAAACATATATACGTATATATTTTTAAAGAGAGAAAGAGGGGTGCGTGCGTAAGCGTAGTAAATTTTGATTTTATTTGATTTGATTTCGAGCCCAAAGCAAACCATACCGAATCCGTATCCTTGGACCGACTTTGTCTTAATTGTGCGTGTCAGTCGGCCACTAAGCCGCAACTTGGACATGGACATGTCCGTTTTCTGTTGGGTGTGTTTAACCAGGACCATTGCCGACTGGGCAATCCAAGGACCAGAAGTCGTTAATAAGAGCGGAAATGCTGGCGCCGACAATATCATTTTGGCCCCCACCCTCTTGCGGCACAATTATGATAATTGAGTGAGCTGAAATACAAAAATACTGGCAGGGAGGGATGGAGGTAAGCAGACAGGTTAAATTGCGCTTAACTCGCCAGTGAATGTGGCATATTCCTGTCCTGGGCACTGGCTCCTTTTTTTGATTGATTCGCACGCGAATGTGGCAAAAAAAAAAAGTGGGCAGTCGACTCTACTCGACTGGCGCCCAATTGTCTCGAGGACCCCGAACCGAACTACCTAAAGAGGTTCGTTTTTCCCTTACATGTGAATAAATCACGATTTTTTCCGCACCTAGTGACGCATATTATTTAGTCCAATCCTCCTCCCTTTAAAAAAATCAATTGATTGCGTGCTTACAGTTTGTTGTCTTTGATTGATTTCGATTCACTTGGCTGTGCGTGTCGCCAGTGCGTATGAGTAATATTTGCCTTCTCCCCCATTTCTTACTTTCCTTGGTTTTTTTTGTGTTTTATATCTTGAACAGCCAGGAAGCTGAATGCTCCAGAAATTGTACTATTTTTAGCAGTGCCATTTAATGTTTTGTTTACTTCGCGAGTGGCCAAAAATGGGACCGGTACAGTAGCATAAACACAGCAGCGATTTAAGACATGCAGTTCCGTTTACACAGTTGGCTTTCAATAATAGTATTTATGATAAAATGTGAAAATATCTACAAATTAATATTTAATAAAGGAATACAAAGTATTGAATAAGGATTTAAACCGAAGTTGATATATAAATATTAAGCATATGAATAATCCTAACATAAAAATTACATTAAGTATTTTGTTCATTACTAGTCCAAAGAAAATTTTATGCTGCCTTTTTTTAATTGTGTTGGTAAATGTTTCGTTGAAAAATTTTAACTTAAATCGAAACCGGCTTTTAGCAGCCTGAAAATCGATAGAGTGCGATCTTCTTCATCGACCTAACTCACCATTAAATGCACAAATCGCCGGACCGAGATGAGTTGAGCTGAGCTGAAATGAAATGAAGAGCAGAGAAGGGGAACTGTTAGCATTGATTAGCGTTTGGTGTGCAAACACGATGTGCACGGCATGGATTGAAAGCGTTACTGAAACCAAAACTGGGTAATGGCTAAATGGGTACTGGGTACTGGATACGGGGTACTGGGTTCACAGTGGACCGGCGGGCCCATCAATAATTGCGGCTTACAGCCATCTATTATGTGAGTTTACTGTGTGTAAAGACGATTGATGGTTATTGATTAGGCAAACGGCCCCCGCTTCGTCGCATGCTGTATATGTGGTTTTTATTTCGTTTTTGTATTGGATGTTGTGGACTTAAATGTGACTGTAGTGGCTAATATCAATATGCGAATATGAATCATCGCGAAAACAAAAGAAGAATCAACGCTAAAAACAAAACTCGCGTAGGTAGCACCAATTTTTTAGGCAAAAGCAAATATAAAAAAGTTTCGCCAAATCCAACCAAGCCAAACCAAGCTATGTCAAAGATAAAGCAGTAGAAATGAGTTTGATGGCTAAAAAAATACACTGCAATTACTTTAATAAAAGTCTGATTCTTAGCTGAATAAAAAAAAACCAGAAGTATACGAATTACTTACATACAACTTAAAAATTACTAAACTATTAATTAAAAAAATTGCTTAAACAGAATGAAAACCATTTTACTTATATTAAAGAATTCGCTTCAACTTACAACCGAATATATCTTACAAATTCTCGAAAATGCAAAAAAAAAAAACCCATATACTCTGCCCACGAGCAATGAGTGCGAAAAGCTAACCAAACATCGAAAGCAACTGACTTGACTGTCCATTAATTTGGCTTGAACTTCGCTTTGGTGATTTGTTTATTTGGCTTTTGTGGCCAGCCAAACAAAAGTTCTGCCTGCGATGAAACTTAGCGGTTGGATTTTTTGCCACCAAAAATCGGCTCCGGAATTGCTACTTCATTTGCATCAATTGTGTTATTTACACCGAAAATTGCATCTTATGTTTGCGCTCTTTAATGTCATTAATTTGTTTTGTTTTCGAGCCAAACAAAGGGACTGCGGGTGGAAGATTGGAAGATCGGGATACCTGGCAACCAGGCAACCCGGCAACCTGGCTGCCGTTTGCCATTTCGGGCTTTTAGCTTTTGTTATTTTGTGCGAATTTTCGCATTGAATTCGCATTGAAATGTACGAAAAGGTCAATTAGGTGCAATTAACAGCAATTTTGTTGCCCTGCTGCTGCAGCTGTTGGCCGAAAAGAAGTGCGCTGAAGCGCATTGAAATGCTGAAAAGCCGTTGAAAGGCCTGATTGAAGAGGAAAGTTTAATTGAGCCTTTGGAGCTGTAAGCCAAAAGCGGAATGCGTGAATTGAATGGAGCGTAAAGGATCATTTAGGCAGGGGCCTCATCATTACAACTGATTGGTATTCACGCAGAGTATTAAACGGAGTGCTGATTACCTGCAACTATATGCTGATTATAATGCAAAGTGCTTGTGTTTAGGGAATTGAATTTAAATTGTAAATCAAATTTGGAGACCATTTACTAAGAGAGTGCAATTGAAATCAAAGGAAGTTCGCTGAAAGTAAAACTGATTGTGTTAAATCCTGTTTAACCAGAATTGGTGATTTTGTTATTGGAAAGTATTATATTAGAAGCAGGTTGTACAAAAGCTGAGGCTATAAATATCGTATTTTGGGATATAAAAAAATGTGTATATTTTAGCATTGAGTTAAATCTGATATTGAACAGGCTTTGAAATAATGTTGACCCAACTCGTTTGGCATTTTTTCCCTGTTAATTTGCAGTAATTGCCGACCCCACACCTGTCTGCGATCCATCAGCTGGAGAACCGGGGGAAATGAGAATATGGATGTGTGTTTTATGGCCTAATCAGCGGTAATATTCAATTCAAACTCGTAATATCGAACATCAAGTGGGAATCGGAATGGGCAACGGCATCGGAATGGAAATGGAAATGGAAATAGAAATAGAAATAGTAATAGAGATGCGATGCCGTGACCTTGACAAGATGCATCTGACGATCAAGGGGGCGCTTTCCTAATGAACGGATAATAAAGCTTGAGATAGAGTCTCGAAATGGGGAGCAATTTGTGTTGCTTTAATGTCCATTCGGGGCAATTAACCAACAACGACAGCTGCTCCACAACACACCGACACACACATACACACCGACAGCAAGTGCCCATAGTAAAATTTCAATTTTCGGCTGTCAACTGTGCGAGCGACAGAGATGGCGGCACACATTAAAAATTATTTAATTAAGTGATTTTAATTTCGCTTTTTTCGCCGTTCGCCGTTTTCTGCTTCCAACAACCACTTGAGACGCCGATGCTGATTGTCTAATTTCATTAATCTAGGCGAAAAGAAGGGGGGACAGACACCGAAGTGAATGATTCGACGAATGGCAGTGTGCCAGGCAAACGTTCGTTTTGACCCACTGTGCGCGCTTCTTGTCAATTAGAATTTAGAATTTGACCTCTGTGCACTAGTTGCGCGGAAGGGAAAAATAAGTGCCAGGGGCAGGGTCGAATCGTATCGTATCGAATCGAAATCGGTTCATTGCGTGGGACTGTCCCATATAAATCACACTTGAGTGCCGCCAAACATTCGAACCAGAACAGAAATAATCGCTCAATTAGCCACCGGGCAAAGTCCACTTGAAATTGCATTTTCATTTTCATTTTCATTGTATATCCGACTGGCGCCAGGAAAAAGTAGAAAAAAAAGTTGGCAAAAAAAAAGTTTTCTTGTAGCTTTACAGTCTTAACTCAAAATGTATATATGTGAGATACATGTAATGTATATATAATTTTAATCAATTCATAAATCATACTTTCCATAGACTTAGTCTTCGAAACTGCCTTTTTGTTCGACTATCCGTTAATTAGGGTAAATTGGAAATTTGATTTACAATCCTAAGTATATATAATTATACCCACAACATTTTATTTTTTAGTACATTTTTGAGTTTTAAATCAACTTTATAGACTTTAAGTTGGTTTAGTGCTTGGCCCCGAGCCTTTGGGAGAAATCACCGCCCCCCCCGGCTGAATCTGCCTTGATTTATAGGCTTCACCGTCATTATCACAAATCGGGGCGTGGTCAGTCGGGGCTTAGAGGCCCATCGACTGGACGACCTTCGTTCGGCGACTTACTAAAGCGTTTTACACGCCGGATTTTTATGTTTTTTTTCTGGCTGTGGTGGGCTTTTGATTTGTCGGCTTCTAATGCTTCCGGTTCCCACTCCTCCGACTCAGATGTGTGCTGTAAGTTGGTAAGTTGAAGGCCTTGCCGGCGATAAGATATGGCCATAACGCCGCGGCGGAGCTCGCATTGATTACCCGACTCGGCCAGGCCAATTCGGTGGAAAAGTACGATGGCTGGCAATGGTGACCATTAAAAAGTCATTACAAAAGCACAGTACAGCACACATGCATGTTGTTTTAGAGAGGAGTTTAGGTAGGAGAGGGACGGGGGAAGGGGGCACTGAGACAAGTATGAGTCTGGCATAATTGCAGAGGGGCAATCAAAAGCTTTGGAACGCACAGCACACGGGAAGTTTCATGTCCAAGCTGAGTTTGGGATTTCCGCTAAGAGTCGAGTCGTCGACATGTCTGCCCCCCTTTTTCGGGGGAAACCCCTTTCTGCAGCCCCTGTCTCCTAGTGTGTTGGCCACTTAAAGGGCTTTGGATTGACTTGTACTCGTATTTGCCCATTGATAATGAACGTCAATTATCGTGTGCCTGTTTGTTTGCTTTGCCTCGGTTTCGGCCCGAAAACACTTTTTTCTTTCTTTTTTTATCGCCTGGTTTTTTAAGTCCAACACAGCGCCAACACCTCGTCCAACCCGTGATGTATGAAGTGACTTGTGAATTATTATATTTTATAAAAACCCTTAATCAAATGAACGCTGGATTTTATGTATTTAAAACAAACCATAAAGTAATGATTAATCGATAAACCTTCAAATGAAATGAAATGAGCTTTTGCCATTAATAATAATAACCTCTTAAAGAATATTATAATTTATAAGCAAACAAAGTGATTTAAAAATCGCTGTAGTCTATATATTTTAAAAAATACTGAAAACATCTGGAAATTAAGGTTCAATCGATAAACCTTCTTATTAATCGAGCTATCGCCGTTTTAAAACCTCTTAAAGATGATTATATTTTATCAAAACTTTTAAACAAAGTGTTCGATAAATCGAAGGCTTTTATATTTTTCAAAGAATATTTGAAACACATTATGGAAACTTATGTTTAATCGATGAACTTAAAACTAATCGAGTTATCGCCGAATAAAAACCTGTTGCCCACGCCAAACGACCAACTAAAAATGCTTGCCAAAGCCAACAACTTAATAAATTGTGGATATGTTATGCTGCTTCTTTGATCTATCAACAAAAGAAACTCAGAGAAATTTATGTGCCACCTGAGAAGAGAATCATGAGATCACACGGGAACTGGTGGCACTTGGAAAGCCATCAAATGCCAGGCAAACTATGTAAATGTCCGGCAATAAATTCGGCCAAACATTGGAGTGGACCAACGTCAAGGCGATCTTGGCACACTTTGAGCATAAATCTAGAGCCATAGAATTGAGTTACATATATGTACATATATCCAGATATGCATAAGCAGTGGGTGGTGGATGTAGATGTATAGATGGATCTTGTTGGGTGGGTGCCGCCTTTTTTTTGTGTTGTCGCGGCTTTAATCGTCCGGCATTATTACAGTACAGTATTTGATTGATTGATTAACTTGCAGTCGGTAATTGAATTGAAAAGTGACCGCCGGGCATGTGCCTCTGCCATGGGCGTGGCACTTGACGATCGGTCGTGTCGACGCAGTTTTTATTTATTTAGTTTATTTTTTTACAACAGTTGTCGCTTCAATGTCGCCGCTTTTTAGTTGCAAATTAATGCTGACAATGCAGCAGAAATAGATACGACCAGAGCACAGAGCGTCGGAATTATA